CCTCCTTCCACACAAAGGGCATCTTTCAAGCCGCAAAATACCACTCCCAACAGTTACGTCTTGCTATGCTTGGGGGTCACTGTCACAATGACCTCCACCAAACAACCTCTGTTTTGGGCTCTTATCACCTTCATCCCTACAGCTGGTCCAACTTTCATGAGCTTCCAGGCCCCCAGCAATAGCAATGATGGTCAAAACCAAGAGGACTTGGAGTAGTGGCTGCCCACTTTTATGTGGGAACAAGGAGAAGTATCTATGGAACCAAAGAGTTTGAAGAGAGCCATGTGGAGGAAAAAGATGGAGAATCACAGAATCACCAAGGTTGGAAAAGACCTTCAAGATCATCCAGTCCAACCATCCACCTATCACCAATACTACTCACTAAACCATGTCCCTCAACACAAAATCCAAACGTTCCTTGAATACCTCTAGGGTCAGTGACTCCACCACCTCCCTGGGCAGCCCATTCCAGTGCTTGACCACTCTTCCAGAAAGGTATTATTTCCTAACATCCAACCTAAATCTCCCCTGGCACAAATCTTGAGGCCTTCAAGCAAGGGCCAGCTCTATGAGCCGTGGAGTCTATGGAGGTTTATTCATCTCCAGATGAAGAACCAATGGAAGTGGATTGAGCTCCAGATAAAAAAAGCAATAGAGGTGAATCCACGTCCAAAACAGCTGACCTGACATAATACCAGCACGCCAGGGCTCCCTTTAGTGTGCTCACAGCAACATCACTAAAAGATTCAGGTGCCACCACTATATCATCTGTGTGTAGCCTCCAGACAAATTAGCTAGGCTATCCCTTAACAACTTGCAGGCTTGCCTGCAGGATAGTCTCTTTTCCCATCCCTATCCCTCATGAAGAGGTAGCATCTCTTCTGCATGGATTCCCAAGAAAGCAGACAAATATGAACTTGGCCTCCTTTCAGCAGATGAGTTTGGGAGACAGGAGGGCCCCACAGAAGGCCACTATAGGCCTTAGGACCCGGAGGTGGGGGTGTCTTCAGTGGGTGCTTGAAGACAAGGCCACACTCTCTGTGCAGGCACAGAAAGAACAGCAGCAGATCAATGAAAAAGAGAGAACTGTTCCTCTGGAGAAGCAGAGTTCCTCTGGACTTCAAGTCAGCTAGGAAGGAGTGCTAGAGTGCAGCATTAAGGTCTGTTTAAGATGATTCATTAGGAATTCTTTCCAAGACCAGGCAATAGTGAACACAACAGAAAATACGCTCTCCTCTCTTACTTGGTACTTTCATAACTGCACCTGGACTCCTGCATCTCCTTTTGGTCTCCTCAGTACAGGAAATATATTGATGCATCTGATGTGAGGACTTTCCAGATGGTAAAAGGCTGGGGTACGTGGCATACAGGGCATGCTGAAGGAACGCTTTCGGTCAGAATGAAGATGATGAGGCTTAGGAGAGGACCTGATTGCTGACTAAAGCTGACTATTGGAAGCATGCAGAGAAGATGAAGCTCGAGTCTTCTCAGAGGTGCTCTGTGGTGTAAGGACGAGCAGCACCAGGCCCATGCTGGTATGGCAGAGGAAGATTCCCAGCTAAATAAAAGGAAAAAAATGTAACCATGAGGTTGCTCAAACACACAACAGGTGCCCAGAGAGGATGTAGAAAATCTGTCCTTGAAGGTGTTCCAACCAGACTGAACAAGTCCTCAAGCAATCTGGTTTGAATGGGGTTGTTTTGAGCAGAAGCCTGGACTGGAGACCTCTAAGAGTCTCTCCAACAGTGCTTCTGCACTTTATCTCACAGACTTCCCCTACCTTCACAAAACTCTTAGAGATGCATCTTTTTGTCCTTCTACCACTTTCACTATTCAAGCAGGAATTTAGTGCTTCAGACATTGTGACAGAAACAGTCAGATTCATCATCTGGCTTGAAATAAGCAGGAAAGCTGTTCTTATCCACAGTTCAATCCGTGTGAACAGACAATTACTACTGTTTTTGCAAATTCATCACCAAAGGAATTAGAAAAATGCTTCTAAAAGCTACAGGTACTTAATAGAAAGATAAAATTGCAACACAACTCTGAAGAGACAAATTGCCATGGAAAAGATCTTGGTTTGACCAGGTGCTTGTTAGGTAACAACTCAAAACTCAATGATCCTTCAAGCTATAGAAATTATTTCCTGATTGCCCAGGAAATGAGTTGAATAAGCCATTATTTGGATCCTACACCTCTACCAACAACTAACCTTAAAATCTAAGAAAGGATAGCTGCTACGTTCTAACAAAAGAAAAGACCTCCAGTGACAACTATTTTTCACATGACAAACAAATCAGTCCTGCAAAAAGGACTCGACAAATATGGAGGATGAATCTGGCTCTATAATTCTAAATTCTGCATGCATCAACACAGAAAATTGATGGGTACAACTATCATTTACATACTGAAAATAACATTTAGTATTGAGTGGAATGCAAGCTAATCCAGAAGAATTATGAAAAATAATTTGGTAAAACTAAGCAAAGAATATGAGAAACAATTCTCAGAAGCTCTTCAAATAATTCATAAGATACCAAGCACAGCCCACTCCAAATGAAAAAATATGAGAGACTGATTCAAGCTATGCTAATGAACACACAGACTTAACACCCTCTCAGTTTTTTAAAAATAAAAACATACAAAAAGTGGCTTCATATCCCACATCCTGCAGACTTTACCTCCCATCACATTATCAATTACTGATGTACACTCTTTCCTGTTCTTTTTCTTGCTGCTTCTCTAACATTTTTTCCATCAATTCTTAGCACTGACAAATATCTTTGGTCATCTGTGTAACAGACCCATAACCTTAAATCCCCTTTAATACAATCCTCCCTAGGATTCCCTACCCTTGCCTAGGGAAGTTACAATCTATTTTTTGACACTGTTCCCATCCACCCAGGGATGCAGTAAAAAGAACAATTTGTGAGACAAGGAAGTTTCAGCTTATAAATCTGCCAACACCTTTCAGAAAAACAGAGATGTTAACCACATGATCAATGAAAACTCAACAGCAGTTTCTCAAGAGAATGGCTAATAATTTTTGGGCAGAATTGTGATTTGTTTTTTTCCATAGAGGTCTCTCCAAAAGTAATGCCTCCTCTTTATTTCCATGGAAACTATGACAAAGAGCACAGTAACAGTATACGCTAGAGCAAATTCTCAGCTATAAAACACTATTTTTCAACACAGACACACTGCATTTTTGCGAGTGACAAACAAGAGCCTGCATATCATGCTCCTAAAAATCCTCATGGCCATCTGGAACATGGCTTGTCTTTCATGTCACTGTCACCACTGCTGAAACATTCTATTCACCATCTCATTGTGCTCACGTTCACTTCATGGTTTCCATCAATGTTCAGCAAGTGTTGATAAATGTCAATGGGCACAATTTTTTCTACATGGAGGAATTTAGTGACACTCCTTTGCTTCGTATACACTTCTATGTCAGATGCTATTCTGTCAGACTCCCCACTGCTGCCATCTGTCACACAGCAATAAAATATAATGGAATATTGGTGGGAATGTTCAACCGCTACTGCCATATCACCAACATCTGCCTCTGACATCATGGGCCAACATCATAAAATAGGAGGCACTGCTTTCAGAGCAGTCCTCATACCTTGGCTCCTCCTTCATTTCAAACTGCTACAGTACCATCACTTTTCAGAATCTTATATGATCTAACCTTCTAATTGCACAGCATACCTAGAAATAGCTTAATTTCAATAACAAAAAATCAATATTCACTCGTGCGGTACATAAAATCATAGAATTGCTCAGGTTAGAAAAGACCTTAAAGATCATTGAGTCCAACCACAACCTAACTATGCTACCCTAACTCCAACAACCCTCCACTAAATCATGTCCCTGAGCACCACATCCAAACGGTTTTTAAACACATCCAGGGATGGTGACTCAACCACCTCCCTGGGGAGCCCATTTCAGTGCTTAACAACCCTTTCTGTAAAGAAATTTTTCCTGATATCCAATCTAAACTTACCCTGGCACAACTTGAGGCAGTGAGTTTAATACATCAGTGGTTTAAAGACTATCCATGTTTTGCATATATAACACTGTAAAAGATAGCTATATAGAACTTAAAACAGAAACTGTTGGCTTTGTCCAGTCCATCAATGTTTTGAAAAATGGAGCTATGATAACATAAATGGATTTACATAAAGTATTTATGCTACTAATGTTAGAATTTCACACTGTTAACAGGTGAAGACTACTGTACCAACTCAAAAACTGCTTTCTTGCAAAACCTCCCTGAAGAATACAAAAACACAAAAATTATTTCTTCAGTAGTCTGTAGTAATTTAGAATGGTAGTAACTTAAGAAGGGTAACTAAACATGAAACAACATGGGTGCACTCAGAATAGTGTTTCAACTGAGATAAGGATAATGGTCCCCACTTTTCCGCTTTGCTGTAGTTCGGTAGACACAGTGGAGAACTCTTGAGGAGATTATGAACTAGGTTCCTATCAGAGAAAACTGAACTGGAAAATGTACACCAGGAGCCAATCTACCACAGTCCAGCTGCAAATGGGTACTTAGTCCTCAAGATTAGACTAAAAATAGTTGCAAGTAAGTGACTCCAAAACGAGCACTGATACCAAGTCCTCTATTTCAACTGTTTTACTGTATGAGTCTGCTCATACACAGCTACACTAGCTGTTAACACCATCATAACTGCTGACACCATGCTCACGGATGAGTTTGGACTGTGATGAGTGGATTAGTTTGCTTCATAAAATACTAGCATTCACTACAGCATCAAACCTCTAAATTTTTGTTTCAGGTAAATCCAATCAAACTGCTCTTAACAATCAAGGTGGGAAGAATGATCAATGCTAGATTCTTGAAAAGAGGAGATCTGTAACTCATGTCTTTGAAAAATGAGCTGCTGTAAGTACTAAGTATTTGCAGTTGAACACTTTTTTTTTTTCTTAAAGAATTATCCAGAAAGGGCAACAGATCAGTAACATACCTTATTGCTTCCTCCACAGACTGGCCAACTATATTTGAGGAAGGACCTGGCTGAGACAGAGGCGTCAGGCTTATCACCCATTTCACTGGCTTGTAGTACTCATCACTAGAACTCAATAGGTAGAACAGCGTGGTCAGGAAAATCACCTGCAAAACAAATAGGAGTTGTAAACTGAAAGACAATAAATACTTTAAGAACTACAATATGCAGATATTTTTCAGATCACTGAACTTGACTGAGAAGGTACAAACTACTATTCCACAAGCTTGGAACACTAAGAGCTAGAAGAGTAATTCCACCCCTGCTCCACAAAGAACTTAACTAAACAGTAAACATCTTTTAGCCCTTTTCATCCTCTTCACAAAGTCAAAGACTAAATCAAACAACCAGATGTTGATTTATGTTGATCAACGATCTAGATTGTTTTTGTTTCTCCAAAGCAGAGACCTATTTAGCAGATCAGAATATTACCAAACACTAACACCAATTCTTAAAAACAAACAAAACCAAATAAACTGAGTTGTTTGGGGAGTTACTGTGTGGCTGGTTATTGGACATAAATTAACCAAAAACCCATAAATAGAATATCCACAGTTTTTATTAGGCTGAGTACTCCCTCCTATGAGTTTGAAGATTTATTTTGGCAGAAGCCATGGCAGTTGTACTGTTTCAATTTAAAGACCAAACCATACCATGAAATCATATTAGCTCCTGGTATCTTGCAGTTCACTATGTTTTATTTATTTTCCGGTCAGTGGGCTCAGCAACTTCTTCAACTAAAGAACACTAAAATATAACCAGCTTGAAATAGAAAACCTCAAAAAAAGAAAATTAGTTCAACTACATGCCACTGGTAAATTTGCTTTATCCACAAGTCTTACTTCTTTTGTCTGTCTTCCCAAGATTTAAAAAAAAATCTCACTTTTCTTATTTTCATCCTACCAATATGCTGGAATAAATAACATCCTAATCTTCTCATAAACCAAACTGTCTGACCTACAGAACTCTCTTAACTTTCAACATTTTCTTCTGTCTGCAGACATCTCATGCATTCTTTCTGCATTCTCTTTGAACACATTCAGTAAAAAAAAAAATGCAAACAGTATAACATACAGTGTTAAGTTACTAGCCTCAACAAATCCATCCATTTATCATCTCTGTTCCTAATTCATTTCTACTCACTAAAACATTACTGTTTTTTCCCCTCACCACAATCTTTAACATGGAAGTCACATTCAACTGCTCACCCAATATGACCCCTTTCCAAAACATCATGTACAGACAGGGACTGAACTCCATCTTCCCAGTATTTAACTCTGGCCTTACTGATAAATCAATCTATCAACTAAAGCAAGTCACTATTTCAGCCCATTTGATCAGCACACTGTTAACATTCATTTTGAGATCATAAAAACAAACTAAATCAGGCCCTGATTTAGCGGGAAATAACCGATCACCATTAACAACATCAGCTATATTTTCTTACAACTCCAAGTAAAACCTAAAACCTGAAACACGTTTTAGCATCCTCAGTAATGCTGTAAACATGGCTGTTTTCTCCTTGCTAAGACCTGCCATTTCTCTTGAGCTACTACAATGTTTTCTTATATAGCTACAAAACTCCCTGTCCTGAAGCAGGCACCCAGACATTGTTTAGTCTTCCTTCAGGTAGGACCTGGCTAAAGATCCTCATTGCAGTGAAACTTGCAACAGAAAAAGTTGTGTATTTCTATACGAACAATATCCACTCATGTTGACACTCACAAAAAGTATGCTGAAAAATGGCTCAATTAAATCTTGTTTTGTTAATACAGCTACACTTAAATTCTTAGAATGCTACCCCTTCAGTGGCTTAGTGCATTCAGGGAATGAAGAAATTAACAGCAGCAATCAGACAACGCTTGATTATCTGTGACATGAGAAGAAAACCTAATTTAATGCAGGCAATGAACAAGAGCTGGAGATCAGTTAAAATGTCAACAAGCACAGCACCAGTACTGACAAGAAAAGCTATTCTTTCCTAGTGTCCACAAAAGAAACCTGCTTCTTTAAGGAGAAATGGATCATCAATACAGACACACCCACTTCAACTGCATAACCCAAACAAGGCATCTGGGATGAAGAGCAGTAGAATAAAATAGCGCTAAAGCAGACTAGAAGCTATGAAAAGATAGGAAACCTAACTCAAATCTTTTTAAGACAAGATGCATGTAAAAACACCATACAAAATAAAATCAATTTTAGATCAGTTAGTTTTTGGGAAATAAATGTATTTGCTTTAGCACAGAAGTACAGAAACGATGAGGAGGAGCAGCCACAGAATATAATTTGACATAAGCAGCTTGCTGACTTCTCTTAAAACAGTTTCAATAGAACATTCAGCAGTAAAATTGCATGTCCCTCCTCCATCTCTACAGGCATTTGAAAATTTTCAGATCTCTTTGACAGGGTATCTAATATTTTAGACATCGCCTAAATTTTCTAACCAAAAATTCAAGATCTTGCTAATGACTCTGAGAAAGAAGTCACAGAAGATAAAGCAATAAGCTCTTTCCATTGATAACTAACAGATCACACCCTCTTGCTTTTTATCCTATAGCCCCCAAATACTGGAACTTCAAATACTATGATCTGAGGGTGAATAAATTGAATTCAATGAGACCGCATTGCAAAACAGCGTACGGTGAAAATGGTAATTCAGCATTTCCACATGTATCAAAAAACACATGATGTAATTGCTTCTGTGTTGTCTCCAGAGACTTGGAAGTATTTCTTTAATTGTCTTTCACACTCAGTTTTCTGTCCAAAGACTTCTTTTTCTGTTGTTATTAAGAAGCATCAGAAATTTGTATATTCCCTGCAAGAATGCAGACAGCTGTCTGCCAAAAGGAGTTATTCCTCTTCCAATCTTTAACAGTTTTCACACACCTAACCACATGCGTATATACATATATACACACACACCAGGGCTTTGGCTAATTATGCCATGGAGCTAGCTTTTAGAAATAGTCTTCTAGGAACGGATGAGGTTAATCTTTCAGGGGAAGGCCATCCTCTACAACAAGCTTTTCAGTTTATTCAGGAAGGCTTTAAACCAGAGTTGCCAGAGAAGGGGATCCTCACCCATTCTACTTCAAGGCTGATGATGGTAACAGATGCCCTAGGCCTGGAGTTGGATCACAGGCCAAGACGACAGCACCTAAAGCACAGAATAAGGAAACTCCGATCGGTAAATCAGCCTCAACAGGAATCCAACTCAAACACCTGTACAATAACGCATAAGCATGGGGTACAAGCAAGAAGAGTTACAGGCGTGGGCATGCCTAGAGGGCTATGATGTCACCGGCATCAATGAGACATGGTGGGATGGCTCTCATAACTGGAATGAGTACAAACTCTTTAGGAAAGACAAGCAGGGGGGAAGTGGAGGGGGTGCTGTCCTGTACATCAGTGACCAGCTGGAGTCCACAGAGCTCTACCCGAAGATGGATGAGGAGCTGACAGAGAATCTATGGGTTAGGGTTAAAGGGAAGGAGACATCATAGTGGTGTTCTGCTACAGGTTCCTCAGTCAGGAATACTGAGTGGATGAGGTTCTCTATAAACAGATAAGAGCAGTTTCACGTTCACAAAACATGGGTCTTCATGGGAGACTTCAACCACCTCAATATCTGATGGAAGGACAACACAGCAGAACACCAGCAATCAAAGAGGTTCATGGAATGCACTGACAATAACTTCCTCTTCAGAGCAGTACAGGAACCCACGAGAAAACCCACTCCAGGCCTAGGTGCCATGGTGGACCTTGCCCTCACCAACGGGGAGAGGCTGGTAAGCAGCATGAAGCTCAAGGGCAGCCTTGGCTGCAGGGACCACAAAACGGTGGAGTTCAAAATCCTTAGGGTGTTAAAGAGAGTGAGTAGCAAGCTTGCTACTGTGGAGTTGAGGAGATCAGACTTAGAACTCTTCAGGGAACTGCTTGGCAGGGTGACATGGGATAAAGCCCTGGAGGGAAGAAAGGCCCAAGAAAGACAAAATCAATCTACTGGGGGAACTGGTGGATGAAGTCGCTAATCATCTGCTATCCAACAAATTTGAAAGGTCACAGCAGTATGGTAAAATTCCCATGGACTGGAAAAGGAAAAACATAAACCCTTTTTCAAACGGGAAAAAAAAAGATTCAAGGAACAACAGGCCAGTCAGTCTCACCTATGTGCCTGGCACATAGAAAATAAGGACGAAGTTTTTTGGCTGCGTTAAAAAGAGAATGACTAGCAGGTTGAAGGAGGTGACCCTCCTGCTCTACTCTGCCCTGGTGAGGCCACATTTACACTACTGTGTCCACTTCTAGGCTCCGCAGATCAAAAAAGACAGACCTCCTAGTAAGAATCCAGTGGAGGGCCACAAAGATGATTAAAGACCTGGAACATCTCCCATATGAGGTAAGACTGAGTAACCTGGGTCTGTTCATCCTGGGGAAAAGACGACTGAGAGGGAATCTGATAAACATTTATAAATATCTAAAGGAAGGTGGGAGGCAAATGGATGACCAGGCTTTTTTCAGTGGTGTGTAGCAACAGGACAAGGAGTAATAGCATAAAACTTGAACAAAGGAAGTCCCATACTAACATGCAGAAAGACTTCTTTACAGTAAGAGTAACAAAACTGAAACAGGTTGCCCAATGAAGTTGTCGAGCCTTCTTCTACAGAGATAATCAAGACCAATCTGGACATCCACCTGCACAACCTATTGTAGGGTATCTGCTTTAGCAGGGTGGTTGGACTTGATCTCTTAATATCCCTTCTAGCCCCTGGCTGGGGGGGAGGAGCGGTTACTACTATCTGCAATTGGTAGTAACCAACACAGCTTCACCCAATGGCAAATAGTGCCTGACAAACTTCGAGGCCTCTTACAATGGAGTTACAATGTCAGTGGATAAAGGTAAAGCAACTGACATCATCTACCTGGACTTGCACAAAGTGTTTGACGCTGTCCCACAAGACATCCTGGTCATCAAGTTGAAGAAAAATGGATTTGATGGATGGACCACTTACTGGATAAGGAACTAGATGGACGGTCACACTCAGAGTTGCAGTCAACAACTCCATGACCAAGCGGAGACTAGTGATGAGTGGCATCCCTTAGGGATCAGTGCTGGGACTGGTTTAACATCTTCGTAGGCAAGATCGACGGTGGGATCAAGTGCACCCTCAGCAAGTTCGCAGATGACGCCAAGCTGAGTGGTGCAGCTGACACTAGAAGGAAGAGATGCCACCCAGACACGCTTGACAGATGGGCCCAAGCCAGCTTCATGAAGTTCAACAAGGCCAGGTACAAGGTTCTGCGCAGAGGTCGGGGCAATACCAAGCACAAACACAAGCTTGGCAGAGAATGGCTTAAGAGCAGCCCTCAGAAGGACTTAGGGTACTGACTAATGAAAGACTCAGTATGAGCTGTTAGTGTGCACCTGCAGCCCAGAGGGCCAACCATATCCTGGACTGCATCACAAGAAGTTGATTTGGCCCCTCTACTCTGCTTTTGTGAGACCCCACCTGGAGAACTGCATCCAGTTCTGGGCCCCCCAACACAAGCTGTTGGAGAGGGTAAATTCAGACTAGATACTAGGACAAAATTCTTTACTGCATGGGTGGCGATACATTGGAACACATTGCTCAGAGACACTGTGGATGACCTCTCCCTAGTCAACAGGAACATGTCCCTGCTTATAGCAGGGGGTTGGAACTAGAAGATCTTAAAGGTCCCTTCCAACCCAAATCATTCCATGACAATATACCCACATGTGCAGACAGGAACTTGAACTCAAAACAGAAGTGAAATATTAAGTGGCATTCCTGTAAAGAATGCTCAGTTTTCAAATGTCTGTTAAGAATCTGAATACAGTCCCATTGGATTCTAGATAGATAAGCTACACATACAAGCTGCTTTATACTGAATGTTTTGAAAGAAGATGTATCCTTAATCCAGAGACTCCAAAACAGCTTAATTAAGTTACACTAAGATGTACTTTAAAGCCAGAAAAACCTTGTCAGCTAAATTCTCACAAAGCAGAGGGACACAATTTCTCTCTTCTCTCCGGTGACAGCAACAGGACTCAAGGGGACAGCATGGAGCTGTGTCGGGGAGAGTCAGGCTGGGGATTAGGGAAAGGTTTTTCACCAGAGGGTGGTCATACACTAGAATAGGTTCTCCAGGGCAGTGGTCATGGTCTCAAGCCGCTGGAGTTCAAGGAGCATTTCAACAGCACTCTCAGACATAGGGTTTGATTTCTGGGTGGTCCTGTGTGGAGTCAGGAGTTGGATTCGATGATCCTTGTGAGTCCTTTCCAATTCAGGATGTTCTGTGGTTCAGTGATCTCTTTATACCCGACACATTCTATACAGTTAAAATTAAAAAAAAATCCAAATCCAAGAGTGTAGGACTGACATATTTGGATGGGGACAGCTCTATACAAAAAGTTTTAACTAAGTAAGTTGTGATTGTTCACTCAGTTCTGGCTGAGAGTTTGGCTAACACACAGCTCATGCTAAGGCCTGATGCTTGCTGAGCAGAGCAGCTTGGTCAAGGTCTAAGTTGCGCGCTGGCAGGGATGATGGCCGGGAAGAGCTAACGGTCACTATTATCACCTGCAGCTTGCTGTCTCCTCAGCCATAATCCTCACACATTGCTGTCTGACAGTTTCTTCAGAAACAGCTAACTCATAGAAATCAATCAAACTTCCAAATTAGAGGGTACAATACATCGGCTGAGACAAAGTTTTTGAAGCAGAACCAACAGCAGCTGGACTGCTAAGGCCTTCATCCTTCCTAGTCTGACAGAGGGGACACCTGGGCCATGACAGAGGAGGAAGGATGACCACCCACTGCTGGTTAGATAACCATATTGTTCACAGACGTGTTACTAGCTACTGTAGATTTCAGTTTTAAGTTGCAATTTACAAAGCTGAAAAATTATGAATTAGAAACTTCGTGGGTTAAAAGAGAAAAATGAATAAAACCACATTAAGAGTAGTCTATACATAGGGAATTGTATGTTGTTTATTTTCCAATAAGCTCATATAATGAAGCTTATTCTAGAGAACATGTTGTCTTCTAAATTTCAGAGATCTGAAAGAGACTGCTACTCAGATTCAGCCCGCAATACAAGTAGAGGAAACTAAGCAGCCTTTAAGGCATCCAGTCTTTAAAAGAGCAGCATATAATGAATCTGATATAAGCCACTGGACAGTTGAAGTTAAATTTTGTGTCTGAGCAATGGCTGCATTAAGATGATCTGCAATTTGAATTTGTCCTTTGTCTCAGATACCGTTTCCAATGTGTCACCACAGGCAAAGCTGTAAATTAAGAAAGAAAGGAAACACTGCCATGGAATCTTGCTTTTTTCCTCACTAACTAAAGAAGAGGTAATTAGAAAATAACAATAGTGATTCTCTTTAGTTTCAGGCAGTCATTAAATTAAGTCTTGCTGCTATTTGTTTTTTTCTTAAATATTGAAGAGAACTCACACAACTGCCTTGAAATATCATTAAACATTACTTTGATTTTACAACTTTGTCTAGAAAGGTCTCCTTTCCTGAACAAGCATCAATGAGGGCAGCGAAGTAAGACTGGCAAAACATCTATTTTTCTAACAAGTGTTTTTCAGTGTTGAACTAGTAACTAAGACAATGGATTTCAGTGAGGCCTTCAAGATCTGTATTATTTAGTTTAAACAGGAATAAGTCATAGGTCACAGTTCTTAATATCACACACTGAGATCAAGATGTTCATAAGCTTTCAATAAAGTCCCATTTAACATATTTTTTTCCTCTTCTAAAGGCATTAGTTTCTTTAAGGATATGCTTAGAAGAATACGCCATAAGATTCCAGCAATTATTTTGGGTATCACAAGTTACAGCTCAATATCTACATGGCCAGAAACACTGTTTTCAATGAACAGAATGATGGGAAGACTGCCAGCTCCTTAAGATGGAAATTACAGGGTGGATTTAGGGCTCCTTTGCCTAGGATGTCCCCCGAATAACTGATTTGAAGGTTGCAGCATCTCAATATGGTAACGTTAGAGAATATTTTCAACACTTTAGGTTTGATTTTCAATGTTACAATGTGTGCAATTAGGTTCATTCAGTAAAACCAAACATATGAACACAGCATACTACTTACCACTGAAAGCACAAAATTGAGAAGAGCTGTCCCACTATGGAAAAGGATTGTCACCAATGTTGTAACTGTAGTGAACAAGAGGCTCACATTCCGACTCATCACTATCCACAGAGACTCCAGGATCTAGAAAAGGAGAAGCAAGGAATGCAAAAATCAAGCACCAGATTGTATTAGTTAAAATACAGAATTGCACTCAGAGTCATTTTCCATCAAGTCATATAAAAAAACAAAAGATACTTATATATTAAAAAAAAATAATCATCATCTTCCCTTAGCCCTATTTTGCAACAGGTAACATTTAACTGGCCAAAGAGAAGACACTAGGTAGATATTTACAAAGTTTTGGGGAATTCTTCTTCCAATGCTCAAAATAATTTGATCATGTAAACCTGCATAAAATCTAGACTATGTGACATTGTTTACTGTGATCTGTGTCACCACCAATCGAAAGCAGATCACATCTTAGGAGAGAAAACTCACCTTTTCAAAAGCAGAAATGGTAAAAGCACAAAGAACATCACAAACTAGAAATGAAGCTAAAGGCAGCTTCAAATCAAGTAATACAATTACTACTTTAATATATTTGTTTTAAACGTATGTACATAAGTTGCATAATTTTCATGATGTATGTAGACAACTATACAGGAGATTTTGCACAGGGATGCAGTGATTAGTCAAGTAGTTATGGAAAACTTACCAATCAATGCAGGACAACTTATGAAATCCTGTAGTGGCTTGGGAAACTGACTGCTTATTAATTACAGATAGTACAGAGAAGTTTTGAGATATACCTTTAAATAAAGGATAGCCAGTATAGCCTCATTAGTTTATGTCTGGATGCAGATGCAACAAGCTAATTAAGGTAGTAACTTCAGGAAACAGATATCTGGAGAAGGCTGGGAGACTTTCTTTCAGGATAGTAAGTTCCTCAGCACAGGTTGTAGCTGTGTAACAGTTTCCCTACAAATTTTAGGCTAAGGAGCTGATAACGTGGAGTAAAAAACTACAGTTAATTCAAATGCAGATATCAGGCGGTTCAACCAATACCAAAAACATTTCTCCTGTAAGAACTTTCTTGTTACATGGAGTCATTCATCAGAACTGCTGAGCTAGGTTACCACTAGCACCTACTTTGAAACATGCACAAATAGTGCCTCTCAGTGATCTTCAGTATGACCTATGAAAGCAAGGGCATGTTTTGGGACTGGTATTCAGCTGTAGAGTAAGTTCCCCCTAATATAAATTCACAATTACTTATTTCAAAACATCTCATGAGAAAACAGACACTGGAGGCACTAGTTATCGCTGAATGTGTTATCAAAAAGCACTCAAAGAATCAACTAACGGTTATAAAACTAAACACAAGCCCTTGCACTTATGATTTCACAGTGATGTTTGATTCCTAGACTTCCCTTACTAAAAGGAATGCACAGGAGTGGAAACATTATGAAGAACAGATGGTATTAGCTATATGTTTATGTAATTACTTGAAGAAATTCTGAGGGACAGAAAATAATGTTACATATGAGAAAACATTACAATATGAAATTGAGCATCTGAAATTGCATATCAGCCCAACTTGATTTGGAATATACATTTATCAGTCACTGCTAAAGGAACAGATAGAAAAGCCTAACTGAGCTAAAGCTTACTGTATATGTTTTAATGGAAGGCCTTCTGTCTTCCTTCTGAGAAATCTCTGAATGAAAAACTGCTGGTAGAATGATGAACTTGTGGAAGAAGCAAGAAGATCAATTTAAGGAGACACCAGCAATTTCTCATATAACATCGAGAGAGCTTTAAGTGATCATTCATAAATTTGGTCAGCAGCAATTTGCTTTTTCAAGGTTTCAAATATTACAGAAATGGAGTAAACGTTATGAATGGAAAAATAAGCAACTGAGAAAGGATTCTTGCCTCAGGATACAGCATGAGGTCAAAAATTTGAGGCAGACATGAGGACCTACTCTAGTTCTCCCCTAAACTGAGAATAGGGGGAAACAAATCCACCCTGGAAATACATCACTGGAAGAACAGTTTAGTAACACTACTGCTTCTACTAAATACAGAAAAAAATCAAAAGAGGAAACACATCAGGCCTGCTAACATCAAAGCTATTAAAGGAAAATGATGATTCAGAAAAGCTTATCTTTATATTTAATCTTGAAGCAATTAACATGTTTATATGGCAAATTGCTTCAAAATAATAAGATCGAGCCAAAGCTACTAGAGGTACTATAACAAACAGCACATTTGAGGGAAATACAGAATTCTTCTGTGCTTTTATCTGATAATCATGGTTGAACTCCTGAATTGGTCATATTGTTACGGACAAAATGAATGCCATTAATTCCCCTGCACAGGTATACCACTGATTTAATTATATGCTTTCAACTCTAATATGAAAGTTTCTTCCAATATAGGAAGTGAAACTTTTTTTTTATTATTTATTATTATTATTTATTTTAAGTTCTTCACGTAGCAGATACACCTCTTTCTCAAGAAGAACACCACTTCCTGTTATTTCCATAAATGGGAAAGAGCTTATCTGCTTATAACTGCAAGATGACATGGTCTAATGGCTGTGTTTTAAAAGAACATACAGTGATCTGTACTATTCTGAAATACTTCAGAAAGCCATGGGACTAGCAAGAGTTATTCTACGGCAAACTCTAGCCACAATCTATGTATAGGTACTCATTACATGCACGAAATATAAACTTATTATTTTTAAAAGTGAAGGAAGTCTCCCTATAGCTGCACATCCTTTACAGTTACCTCTTCCAATAGCCTGCGTTTAAAAACAACGTTGAAGCAGTTTCAGGAATTTATGTCTTGCTGTACGCTTAAGAATTACAGGTCAACATTGATTTTAAGTGTCCAAAAGCAGAAACATCCTACTGTTTCAGTTATAGCCAAGACATTTAAAAACCCCTCCAGCCTGTTAAGTGTAACCAAAACCCAAAGGAAACAAACATAAAACCTTACTAAACAACAAAATCCACAAAAGTGCAAGAAAAACTCACACAAAGAAAAAAACAACAAAACAAAAATAACCTCCCCAAACTATCCTCCAAAATAACTTCACATTTAAAATACTGATCCTTTCCAGTTCAATATGTTGTTCTATGAATTCATTGTTCCTTTTCAAAGCACCAAGAGAAAGACCGCTGCTCCCTCACAAAACATAAATCTGGGAAGCAGTAAGCTTCTGTTGTATCCAAGGACAAGTGAAAACCTTGCCATCAAATACCAGACTTAAGTTAGAACTACGATTATTTTTATCACAGCCAAGTCTTAACGGTCTAGACAAATACACATCAGATCTTTATTGATTTTCATCTTAAATAATGGGATTAATATTTATGCAGTGGATTTTTTATGAGCTACCCAGTAAAAAAAATGCTACCCAATAAGGAGTGAAATTAGGATTTAGTATTATACACTAGTGCTGACTGGCTTACAATCTGTCATGACGAATCTATGTGTATGAAGAAAAAGGACAGGTGCCTCCCCGGAGATGATAAGTGAGTTCATGGTCATAAACAGCAAAGCAAGCCAACTGCTGGCATTTTTCCTGTTTTTCTAAAGCCAAACTTCAAGATAACATAAAGCATACTAGATAGATAAATATTTTTAATACTGATCTACCTCAAGCTTAAATATTTATTCTCTTTTCACTATTTCTCCATTATTTTAGACTACTTGGACTACTGATGCACATACACTATGGTTTCTAAGCACAATGAAGCAATAAGGTAAAGAAAATGGCTAGCACCTATTGTATAGTTCTGTTTCACTTACTTTCTTACCTAAAAGCAACACCGATTTTAAACGATGATTTGCTACACATTTTTGTAACACTGCTTCAGGCACACACAGTCAACTTTGAGAAAGAATTCAGCAAGTTTTCTGTATTAGCCGAAAAGGTTTCATTACTGTAAAAAGTTCCTCTCAACATCTTGACTCACTTCTTTTTTTTTAAATGATAGAAACTAACCATTTAAACAAGATTTGAAGGAAAACAAGGCACATGCACCCATCACTCAAGACCAACAACTGCCTCAAGACAAATAATAGCTTAAACTGCATCCACAAAAGATTCAAGTTAGGTATAAATAACACTCTTTCAAAAGGGATAAATATTAATCTTCAGATATTTCTCAATTATGACAATAGTTCAGGTCAAAGATGAACTGTGCCAGGGGATGACAGTACGTTACATGCTTCAGACTCAACGTCGTTTGTTAGACAAATGTAGTTGTTTCCTTTCTTTTCCCTTTCAATGCGTTTTCTCTTCATAAGGTGAAAAGGTCCACTGCATTAATTCAGGGACCCATACAGTATAAAACATTGATTTCATTCTTCACAGAACTTTCATAAAGAAGAAATAAAGTTGCTATCAACCAAACAAATAATAATTTCAGGAAAAAAAGACTATACAACACAAGCATTTACATATAATACTTTACATATTTGTGTGCTCCTGTCACAAGCTTCTTGGTCAATATATTTAATTCATAATCCAGACAAATTAGGTATTTAAAACAAATTTAAAAGCCACCACTTGTATGCACTTGGCATACACTTCACATAAAAATAACACTGAAGCAAACTAATATTTGGCACGCAACAAATTCCTAGAACAGAGAGATGAGGTAAGAGCAATTCCAAACAAATGACCTCTAAGAAACAGAAAAGTAAACTACAGAATATGAAGAACTTAAACCAACTTGCAGGTGACATAGGTAATACTACAACAATCTCAACTAGGAATAAGTTTGAAGCTCATATCACTGAATCACAGAACCAGAGAATCATAGGAGTTGATGATCTCCAGATGTCCCTTCCAAGCCCAACCTCTATGCTAAAATCAAGCTCCCTACAGTAGATCGAGCAGGAAAATATCTAGGCAGGTCTTGAATTACTCTAGAGAAGGGGGTATCAGTGAAGATGCTGAAATCACAATTAATTCTTCTTTGTAGTATGAATACTTCCAAAGGAGACAAAATTACTGTACAGGCAATTACAAATACCACTACAAGAGAGTCGATATACCTGCACGCCATATCCTTAGCAAGAAGAGTAGGAATTAAAACAAGACCAATTTTATAAAAAGAGTAAACAATACATACCGAAAGAAATGTTTCAATGTTATCATGAACAAATGAAGCAACATCTTGCCAGTCCAGAATATCTCCAAGCCAGCTGTTCTGACGGTTTATGTGCCATTTGTGTCCTTTGTGCCTTCCAGAATGCGTTACATTCTTAAAGAGAGAGACAAAGATATAAAGATACCATATATTCGAATAATTAAGACAAACATGAAAAGCTAAAGGCTAAGGTTTTCTTAGAACATGTCCCCTGTGTACCTAAACAGTTAGGCCTGCTTTAACTGACATCTTCAAAAAATCACTGGAACCAAGGAAGTTTTTTTCTATTTTCTGGAAAAATAAAAGCTGACAAAAAACTATAGTTAATTATCTGATGTAATTACAGTTATATATTGTACTAATGCATCTCAGACATTAGTGTGACAGCTTGACAAAGACGATGGTATCTAATTTGCTCTTTAGGAAAGCAGAGATCAAAGAAGTAACAATTTCAGTTACTGCGTACATAATTTGCTGATGGCAACACATAACTTCTTCCAGTGCAATCTATAAAGAATAATAAAAGACAACACAAGAAGAACTATTTTTCTCACATTCAGTGTCTTCCACTGGCAACATTCACTCATTCAAAAACTACAAACTAAACCAGTAGTACGTAGGATTTCTTTTGACTACACAGCAAGTGCAAAACAACAGGAACTGACCATAACAGTCATAAATACAACAGACAGTTGCTCAGGTGGGTACACCCAAATTATGAAGTAGGTTCTGAGCAACAGAACCTAACAAAAAGCCTCACAACTGAATGAGCTAAAAGGAGAGGTTCTCCTTGAAGATGACACTTTAATTGCATTTTGCCATCATCTTCCAAGTGATTTCTTATTCCATTATTATATTTCATTGAGAACACACGCTCAATAGCAATTAATCTTTTACAACATCTCTAGAACTTTTTAAAACATATACCATTTACTATCTGCTGATCTTCTCTCAAAGTGGAAGTTAATGACTGAATCCACATTGTTGGCAATTCCTCCTCAACTCTATAGCTTTCATTTAAGAACATTACCTTACAGCCTAGAACAGCATCATGCAGGCCTCAGAATAAAGCATAACTATGCTCATACAAATGGAGAACTTGAAAGCTCCACTGAGATACTGTTAGATGCAGTACAGATGTCTTGTGTGCTGGAAATATCACATGGTTTACTAGTTTTCAGTTACTCTGAAAGGCTCCACAAGGTAACTGCAGTATTACAGGAGGGAACAGCCAGGTGGAAATCACCCAAGTTTGACTTCTAAATGGACGTGGAACATGACAGAAGGAGCAAGATTACAAATCAAATCTGGGGCAGTTACCTGCAGCCCACAGATGAGTGACAGTCCATCATGCCCCTGCTAACTTAAGGTCTCTAATGTACAACTGGAGGAAAAAAAACTAAGACCATAAATAGCATCAATCTACTCCTGCAGGTCTTTCTGATGTTTTGATTGCTAGAGAAGTCACTTGCCAGTGTGCTCTGCTACAGCATCTAGAAGACCAAAACCTCATAGTCTCTCCTCAAATAACAATCTGCAGGAAAGAAACTCAGAGATTCAACATACTGAAGCAACAATGTATTCCTGCGGCACATGCCCAATTGAACCATACAGTGCTGTAGCACATCTGACCCATTGGTTGCAACACCAAAAGCATTAGCTTTTGGCCAAATATACAATGCTGACTAGTCCTACGTGCTTTTCTTCCAGCAAAATCCCCTGTAACGTGGAACAGCTTAAGTAGGAAGAGACTTTAAAGCCTATTTGGTTGGAATTCCACTCCCATGGGCAGGATTGCCACCCAACTAGATCAGGTTGCCCAGGGCCATATCAATCCCAGCCTTGAACGCCTCCAGGGATGGAGCATCCGCAGCTTCTCTGGGAAACTGTGCTAGTGCCTCATCGCCCTTCATGTAAAAAACTTCCCCCTAGCATCTAACATAAATACTCCCTGTTTTAGTTTAAAGCCATTCCCCCTTGTCCTATCACGGTCTGCCCACGTAAAAATCAGTCTCCCTCCTGTTTATATGCTCCCTTCAAGGACTGGAATACCACAACAAGGTCTCCCTGGAGCCTTCTCTTCTCCACGCTAAGCAAGCCCAAGTCCCTCAATCATTTTTCACAGAAGAGGTACTCCAGCCCTCCAGTCATCTCTGTAGCCCTCCTGAGGATCCATTCCAATAGCTCTACGTGTTTCCTGTACTGGGGAACCCAGGCCTAGACACTGTATTCCAGGTGAGGTGTCACGAGGGCACAGCAGAAGGGAACAATCACAGCCTTTGCCCTGCTGGCCACCCCTTCTGATGCAGCCCTAGACACAGTTGGCCTTCCAGGCTGTGAGCACACTTTACCAGCTCGTGTCCTTTCACACCAGCCATCTCCTTTGCTGCATGATTTTGCTTTTTCTTCTGCCAGCATCTGCCCATTCTGCCCCACAACAGGCAGAGAAGAGTGGAAATGAAAGAACAACTTTCTACTCTCAGTTCTTCCGTAGATACAGTTTTCTCTCTTTTACATTTTGCTATTTCAATTGCATCACAGCTTATGAATTGCTTTCTTCTTCCTTCACAGACAAGAAGCACTGACAGCACAAAAAATTTTATTTTTATCAACTTTTCAAGATTCAGTGTGCAGAACCCACTATTAGAATTCACAAAAAAATGCATTTGAAGAATATCTTTTTCATTAAAAATTCAAATCAATAAAAGATACACAAAATCACACAGAATACCAGCTTTTTCCCAACCCCTCCGTATAACAAAAAAATAATCAAAAAAAAGCTCTGAACTAGGAATGACTAAATATGAATAATGAACGAAGAATATATTAAATTGCAGGCATGAAAACACATTCAAGGGCATAATTCTGGATATACTCAAATTTATGCACTTGGGATTTTGCTTTCTTTCTTTGTAAAAATCAATTTTGTATCATTATGATATTTACTCAGCAGTTCAGACTTCTTGCTAATCTTACATGCTTAGCATAATTATTTCAAAACAGTAAGTGATAGTTTATATAATTTAAACAAGCTACCCACCTTCACAAACCAAGAATGATAAAGCCTGTCCCAAAGCTCCAGCACTTGCTTTTCAATCACAGCAGTGTTGTTCACTTTTTCTCCTAAAATTTTATGAAGCTGAAACACATAGAACTCTTATTACACAGGACAGAAGGTAGCTGGCATCCACTGACAAACTCAAAGGTAGACAAACCACACAGAATTATCATTAAAGGCATAACCCAAACCCAAATAATTAGAAGACCTGAGTTTCAGTACAGAATATACTCTTCAAATCAATATGATTCAAAACAAAGGTGTTTCTGTTTTTTTTTTTTAACGTATAACACATTCTGCTACACTAAGCTGAAGGCTTCTTCATGCACTGAAAAACTAACGCTGCCTCTGAAATACTTAATCCAATATCCCTGATCTTATTCAGAGTAAACATTTCAAATTATGTGAGACGCGTGCTATCTTGGCAAATCCTCCTGAAGAATGTTAACTTAAAAGTAAACAAATAAAAATACAAATTTATCACATGCAGTTCATGTAAAAATTAGAATAAGGGTGGTTAAAAAAAAAGCACGTTTTCTAAAATTGGACAGTTAAAGTCAAATAAAAAAATCAGTCATTTTTATTTGATGCATTTTCACTGGCAATCTTACTAAAATGAAGATAGATTTTTCAGCTCTTACAGATATTTCTTTAAGCAAAAAATCTATTGAAATCACTCCCACCGCCTTCCTTCACTCACAGACTGAAATTGGAAAGAACAGATCTGCTAACAAAACAGTTAATCACATGAAAAACAGGGTCACAGAAAAACCTTTTTATTTCATTTTTACTTATATGAAATACAGGAATCCAAATTATAATTAAAAAAACAAGGGAACTGTTTCTCACCTTGTGCGTAATCCATTCTCTGCCATATTGGTACACATTATTTGCTGCTGAGTTGAGCGCTTTCTGAAAAACCTGGGCTTCTGGAAGCCAGCTGTTGTATTTCATTTTTTTTTTTTAAAAAGAAAACAAAGTTATCTGCTACATATTTTACCCATTTTTTTACACCTGAAACATTACCAATTAACATACAGAAACAACAAAAAATAGCTAATAAATGAATGTATTACAGCTAGAGTACTTTGTTCTTGTGTCAGAGACAATTTTTTGTTAAGTGGAGCACAATTCAACATATCATATGCCATTATATTTGTAATTCACTACAGTAGGCACAACCTTAGTTCAACTGCTATCTCAATGTTTTCAAGAGAGCCTTATTTGTATTTCACCCTTATTTTTTCTACTGTTCTAGTTTTCTGACAATATTACATGAAACAGTCTTTTCTAGTTACATAGACATCCTTCTCAATTACGAGCTGAATGCAAATTGTTAGTTAACATGACTTCTCTGCATAAGCAACAGGATGAATTAATAGGTTACAGTACCACTTATTTCTAAGACTCTACCAAGTAATCTGCTTACAAGTACCTTCACGTCACTTTCATGTCATGTCACAAATCATGACACAACTCACGTCACTTTCAAATAACAGACCTATTGAGCTGCCAACATTTCAACAATTGTGAATACACGGTGTACGTTCCCTGACTTTTTTTCTACATCTTCATTCAATTAATAATGTTAAAGCCCTTCAAATAAAAAAAAAAAAAACATTTGGGAATCGAAACTGCTTCATTTCTTGAGTTAACTCAATACGGAATCCTTCCTGTGCGTATAACTCTTCAGAAATGTCATCACATTCCAGTGCAGAACATTTCAGTAACTCATTTCTAAACATAATCTACATATTAAGTATCAAGCTCTGAAATCTAAGCTTGTTAGATTGACAGAAGGTATGCTTATTCCTAATGAATTAATATACAGTGTTTTGAATGCTTCAAATTTGGAGGCAAAAACTTCAAGTAAACATCTTAAATAAAATTCTGCTAATTACTCAGCTAATATCCAGAATCATCAGTATGTGAGTAAGCTTTGGACTTTCAAACTTCCATTTTCATTACTCCTACTTATTTTCATCCTGTGGCAAAACGGGAAGGCTAAATGATACCGCAGATGTCACAAAGGAATAAACAAATGCATTTAAGTGGTCTCTTTTGACCGAGATTACTTCAGTTTTGCTCAAACATGTTATTACAGCATTTCTCAACAACACCATTTTAGTTCTATTTCTAAAATTCCCCTTGATACTATAACACAGTACGCAGTTTCTTTAAATCTTATTAAAACATTGTCACTTCTCTGAGAAGGTGCCCTTGACAATGTCAACAATTCTCATCTAGGAGACGATTCTTTTTTCCCCACGAAGTGCCCTGACTTACTTCCACTCAAAGTCTGTTTAGCCAAAGCAGAACAAAAGCAAATCTGAATAATCTTCCTTTATTACCTATTCCCACTCCACTGTTAATACAATCAGTTTGCTCACCACTAGACTCTTATTATTCATCTATGTTCATTTACTTTATAATATTCTCCCTTCCTTAATATTACCTTGTTTTAGTTGTAATCTTTACATATATTGTATCTAGAGTCTTTCCAGTGCACATGATATCTGTTCCAAATAGGAATATCCTTTACTAAATGATTCATACCAAACTTTCACTATCCACCACTCTATCTCTGAACTCTTTTTTGGTTTGATCCAGAAACATTTCTTTCAAATTCAACTCTGTCAAAGGCATTTTGTAGCCAGCTCTCTACATGGAAAATATAATTCAGCTTTCAGCTCACTGTCTTTCAGAGTATTCTTCACCATTACTTTTCTTTTCCAGGCAAAAGTGGAAGAAATTTTGACCACTATTCTCTGTATTATGCAAGTTTTTTTCCTCCAAAATTGTAACTACAGAAGTTTATTCAGCTGTCCTTCTCCACTAAAGCTCAAATGGTTCTCGGATGAGATACGACATGCCTCTCCTGCAGAATGATGGATAAACATTGCTACTTCCTGACACTTCAACTTTTACATCTGCTTGCAACAGTCACTCCCGTTTCTGTTCACCTACAGAATTCTTAAGCTAAAAAGAAAAAAGAAAAAAAAAGAAAAGAAAGAAAAAACAAACCCTCCCCCAGAAAAAAAAACAAACAACATAACAACCAAACTATCTGTAAGAGCACCTGGAAGCTTGTTCATCCACCCTATACTATTCGCTTAACTTCAGCATTCTTACTTTGCCCATTCTGGGTGACTGGCTACTGTCTCATTGATCAAGCTGCTCGTGACTTGAATCATGTGAACGCTCTCTTGATGTACCTAAATTAAACAGAGAGAAGAAATGTCACGTAACGCAAACTAGAACTCTACCTACATTGAGAAACTTTTTTTTGACTGGGTGGGGCTGGGCTAGTATCCCATTTTTGACAGACTGGAGGAATAGTTCTTACAAGTCAGTAGACCCATTGTGAGCAATGAAGTAGCATTAACCCAGAAAAGAAATCAATGTAATAAATGACAGTCTGTTCTGACAGTTTTGGTCACATTGTTTAATTAACAGTAGCAAATGGAAATTTAAACCTCATCTCATCAATTGGAAAAAAAATAATACCTGGGGGACATTATAGCAAAATAATATCTAACTACAGCTGTGCTGTCAGAGAAGTACTAAAATACAATACATTTAAGTTTGAGACATGACTTTCCAAGGTATGGCTCAAAGAACCGTAAAAATTAATGAATGCTCAGTTCTAATACAATCAACCACACTAAGAAGTGCCTCACCAAATTAATTCTTCAATAAGAAAATAAAAGACATCATATTTAAATATCTTAACGTTTCTTTTCTGACTGTAAGAAAGCTTTAGGCTGGACTATTTACACACATATTTTTCAAAGCCTACAATTTTAAGCACTCGATATTATGCAAGTTTACATTTTGGAGAAATGAGACATCAGAATTAATCTGATATTTGTTTCAAAGCTCTATTCAGGCAAACCATTCAGTCTCCATTGACTGTGCCAAGTAAGAATACAGCTCCATAAAAAAAAAAGGAGGGGGGAAATAAAAGGAAAAAGCAAAACAGAACAAAACAGAAAATATGGGTGACCTCTTCTGGTGAAAAAAAGAAAATCAACCACAATTCAAAAATCAATTGCAACGAGCATCTGAATCTTAGCACATTTTAACTTGGAATGGGATACTATGAGGTTATTATAGGCAATCACACAATCAAATAGACAAACACACCTTAAACATTTCGCAAATACTGTTCTGATGCAAAGTAAATTTAAAAAAACAAAAAACAATAAAAAACTAAGCAACTCTACAACTGACATGAAAGCCGCAACCAGGTGCAAAACAAAACTGTTACCTTAATACATAAGCTAACACTTCACTTCTAAATAAATTTCAAATCTCTGAATGTCTACAGATTGGTTATGTTATATATAAATATAAAAATAAATAAATACATGTGCATTTATCCTCAGAAATCTTGGAACAGTAATAAATTCGACTACAGAACATTTCATTCCTAAATACTTCAAAAGGTTCTTTAAGCTACACAATTTTGCATAAATATCAGTAACTTTCATTCAGCTTTTAAACATGAGCTCTGTGACAATGTTCTTCAGTGCACCGTACCTTTGCAGTAAGGAGCAGGGCTAGCAGAAGGGTTCCTATCACTAGCAAAAATATTATGAAAATGCTGATTATTTTATCTAGCATCTTCTCCAACCACACGATCATCTGTGCAGAAAAAAAAAAAGAAAAAATCATGGCATATAAATCAATCTCTAATGAAAGCAAAGTTAGATGCTATCTGAAGCACTGTTATCTTTAATTACAACTGGAATGCAAAATTAGACTCTAATCAAACAGCATTAATGCCCAAGCTTTGAGATGGACAATTAACAAGCAATGTTAGGATGATTGAGGCCATGGTATGACATGTGGTTTTGCAAATGACATTTACACATTACCACAAGACACAGCAAGCTCTCTGCAAAGCAAATAATAATTCAACATTTACTTAGCAGACCTAAAGAGGCTACATTCACTTCAACTACCAACCTAGAAACTGACTTTGTTTTCTGTTCTTCACCAACTTGGAAACTTACAGATACTATCTGCACAGAACTTGGAAGTTAACAAGACATGCTGTTTAAGTATGACCACGACTTTGGAACTTGAATAGCTAGTAGCTATCTAAATGACTACTGAGGTATTTCTGCAAATAACTAAATGTTTAAAGCTGCTTATCACCTTCTGAACTTAAGCTGAAGGTTAAATTATTAAATTTCTAGTCAATTATTCTGTACTGAACATTTTCATCAAATTTCCAACTGGTAAGGATTCTCAGTATCATACATGAATCAGCTAAAACTACTCATAGAGGGGACAAGTATGTTTGCTGTTCTGTTGGTTTATGCAAAGGCACATTCTGTACATGTCCACAGGTAACAATGATACCACTTCAAATTAGAAAAGTTTTGCTGATGCCATTCAAAACATGAGAACTGCTGAACTACTGACTATTCACAGTGCAAGCTAAGCTTTGTCATACATCAATTGACTATCCACACAAAAAGTTGAGAAAGCTCATGCAAGAATGACCAAGCACGTTTTTCTAGCTTTTATATAGCAACTCAAGTACCAAGTTTTATTTTTATTCTATCTGGCATTAAAAAATACAATTGTAAAATCTGAGCTTTAAGAGAACCAAAGTTAATGACGATACGCAGGAGAAGAAAGGATTTCCAAGTGAGTATAAGTTATGTATCCAGAGATTAGGATGATAACTCCTTGCATAGAGTTCTTCCCAAACTACTGAGCTTACTGATGGTTAACATTTGTAAACCACTTCTTTCCTCACTATTTGCTCCACTCCTACATAGGAAACCAACAACCAATAACTACTGTGGACTGCTGTACGTCAGATTATTGAATTGCTTAACACAGAAGTTATATCTCCTGCTTGAAAAGGAACAGAAGCTCATCCTGTAACATTTAAGCAGTTAATACACATGAAGCTTTGAGAGGAAAAAAGCTTAAAGTTTGTACAACCAATTCCTTGTTTGATCTGAATCACGATAAGGATTATGTTCAGCATTTTAGAACTGCTGTTAAAAAAAAAACTGAAAAAAAGCTGGAAGAAAGCAAACAGAAACTAATGCTGAGCCAGCAAGTTTCTAGGGCAAGATCTACACGACCTGCAGAAAGGAATTCTGTAGAACTGGAAGCAATCTGCAAAACCTTACACCTTGGATATTTTTAACATTTTTCCCCCATTGCTGAAATATCTCTGCCATCAGAAATACCGATTCCTGTAGCAATAGAGCAGCTTTCAGAAAAATGCTGACTAATTTCTACTTGGGGGTGTTAACTCTTTGGAAACAAGACAGAAAACAGGATTTGCTGTGCCCTTCCACATTTCACATTCAGCTAAGAATTAAGCAAGAGAAGCAAAAATGAAAGACCCTGTTTTGCAGGTGAGAATTAAAAACTATCCCTATTGATGGCTGGGAAGGGAAAATTTACAGCATGGGTTTTAAACTGAAGCTATAGAAAAAGACAATAAGGCTTCCCTTGCTATTTCTTAGTCAAAGTAAAAACTAATTCTTATTTACTTTCTAAGTTAGAGACAAAAATCAACTCACCACTTAGACTAACATCTAGAACTCAAACCTGTCTCACTGCTAGCATCACTAGCTGCTTGAGAACACTCAACATGAACAATCTCATCCAGCAGCATAGGCTGGACATTTTAGGTGTTTTACCACCATAGCGACTATTGGAAGAAGAAAAAGCTCCAAAGAAAATCAGGATGAAGACTCTCTGAACATCACCAGCAAAGATCTTTCCTCGATGCTTCTCAGTGGAGGTTGGAATTCAGCTATAATGCCTTTGAAGTGCAGCTGCAACATGTGTGAAACTTCAATTACTTTTGATCTAGTTAGCAAAGTAATGGCATCGCTGATGCTGCACTAGCACGGACAGCAACCTCAGCCATGCAAGCCCACTTTGTGTTTATTTTCTTGGGCAGGTAGCCCGTGCAATCCACATGGAAGCCAAATGCAGTATGCCTACGGGTACCTCAATCACATCTCTCACCACAGCCTTCAGGAGATCAACATTACACAACTATTACAAACAAATCAGAGTTGAGATCTGAATTGGATTCAGTATATTCCTAATAAAAGCAGATGCACAACATTATCTTAGGGTTATATTTATTCTGCCTCCTTTAATTTGCTTGCTATTAAGCTTCCCTCCCTTCCTCTACATTTACCCGCAACACTTCAGTAGGAAGCGCTCACCCTGGCACACTCATGTTAAATAATTCATTGGTACTAGCTTAGTACTGCATGTAAGTTAGAATGCTAAATCCCTGTGTACTTGTACTTACCACTGAATCAGGCCATCCCTTTGCACCTTTTCTGTAAATCACAGACATACACACAAATACAAACATACTGACTAAACACTAGTCATCAGTCAGAGATCATGAAGTTCTAAATTCAGTTCTGAGCTTCTTCATCTAAAAATTAGTTAAAAACAAGAAGCTGATGCTGCCACAACATCCAAAATTATGCAAAGGTAAGCAAAGCCAGACTCCTAAGCTACAGAAGGTCACACTTTTAAAACCAAACCAAGCGGTTAAAAAGTTGTGATTGACTACAAAAAGCTATCTTAAATTTTCAAGGTTTTAAAGGAAAAGGCATCAACTTTCAAAACATTTTTTTTTTAGAATTTATCTCAAGGTAGAAATAAGTTTCTAAGCCAAGCTGCACTCCTTTAAAATGCCTCTCAAGTATCTTTAAGTACTCCCTGCTTACAACTTCCATATCACGATACAAATCCCATTACAATGAGCTGCAAGACAACTTCTGATCACTTTCAGCAATCAGGAATCATGCTATCTAGATAGGTTATGCAGTAAGATCCACCATTTATGAATTCATATTTTAGCGTCCTCAAACTGCACGGCCATCAGAACATTTTTTTTAAACCATTTTATGAACTACACTTCACACACAGTGACGCATACCTGGATATCCGTTCCATTTTCATTAACTATACATGAAATTACCAACAAGGGTGATTTCTTTCTAAACACTATTTCACCACCTATCATGATTTTTTTTCCCCATGCCTTTTTAGACAGCAGACTTGATAACATTTTCCTTTAGTTTAATTAATATTTGATATCATCTCATTAATATCATCTGGTGAGAATAAGGGGAAGCTTGTGTATAGTCAATGAATATAAAGATGTTATAATTATGAAATAAACAAGAGAGTTTGGCAGAGCAAATTATAATAACAAAAAGAGAACAGATAGAAAGCTTACCCACGTCTTGGGCTTGCTGCAAAACTCCAGAGGAGGGATCTCCAGAAGAGATCCTTCCCCACTCACAATCAGCTCTTAAATGGGGTCTAGGAGAGGTGGAGCCAGGCTCCACCCCTTCTGGCAGCACAGGTGAATTGCCTTCAGCTGTGCTCCGTGACTGACTTACTGCTCGCCTCAGGTGATCAATGAGAGGTTCAGGTCATGATTCAGCAGTTCCCATACAGCTTTTAACCGTAACACAACTCACACTATGCTGAAATGAATCATTATGAATAGCTAAGTTAACACTGGAGAACAACCTAGATAAGCCCACTCATACTTAATGTCCCACCACCAACAACAGTATTTAGTAATTCTAAAGATTCCTGCCATGTACAATGTCATAGAACAAATCATGCTAACCCAGTAGAACCTATTCTCCACTTTGGGCGGTATCTGCTACATTAAACATAACTGTACATCATTCTTGTCTGCTAAAGAAAAATTCGAGCAGCTCTTTGACAGCTCTTGGAACAGGAAGAAAAAAAGCTAAGGTTTATCACCAGCAGCCCCAGCCAGTCATCACTTCAGACATGTCATTTCTGTGATTCTCAGTAGATTATCAGGAACTTAGGTTAGCATTGCCAAACATACTTCCCTGCAGAATAGCAAAAAAGAAAAAGGCCCAGTGGAAGTAACTTTTTAAGTGACTGCAACACTCTATGTTATAAGTCTCCTCCATTCTTTGCCTTTGGTAGAGTATATTTTTTTAAATTTAAGGAAAAAAAAACAACACATCAAGAACTTGATACAGTTCTTGTATCTTGTTGTTTTGCTTTTTTCTTTACCTTGACTATAATGCTTGCTCATCATGCTCAGAAGTCAACACTATATGCAACACTACAAGACTACAAAGATCTCGTCCTATAAAAATATGAAGTCAAACATTAGTTTCAAAATCATCTCCTAGGAACTACATAATCCTCTTCTAAGAAGCTGTATCCATAGGTTTTTGACCAATAATTCACTTCTCTAATATAAGAAAGCACCAATAACTCAGAGTTCAAAGTAACAGCAACTAAATTATTCTTACAGCATATCAATATTTAAAAAAAAAAAAATCCATATGACTGAGTTTTCAAAAAAGCAAGTAAACTTCAGAGTCAAAAGTAGTGGAGACTGAGCTTTTACTGGTGATTCACTGAACTTAGCAACTCAACTCAAGCGTGCAAACAAACCAATCACTTATTCAAATTTTTATGAAGGGTTACAGTAGTATGTGTTTATCGATCACAAACTTTATCTTCTTCCTCTCTTTCTCAGTTAACTAGTTTTCATGTTTTATCACATCCTAAATTTTCCTTGCCAAAACTCTTAGAGTTCTTCAGATGTACACACATCCAACAATGCCACTGCCCACGTCTCAGACATATCACCACACTGAGTTTTCCAGATTTCAGTCACACCTAAGGCCAAACACAGACTGATTCAGTTTCAACTCTTCTTGGGTTGATGGTTCCCCAAAGAGCAACAGTACACTGGGACTGATTAAGATGAACCACATCTACTGAGGAGTACATTTCATATATAACACACGACATACTTTTATAAGCCAAATACACATTATTATTTTAGCTATACCAACATTTTTGTTGTTTTTGTGTTTTGTCTGATTTTCTCTAACTAGCAATCACTTCTCATCAGAGTGCCATTGGATTCAGCAGGTCTCAGATCATGCAGGTACTCTCATTTCACTTGTGCTACACTATCACTGAATATACAGGCCAATTTGACACTTTAAAAGGGAAACATTAATAGCACCAGACAATGCGCTCTGTGCAAGCATCTGTATTCCTAGCTTCAAGACTGCACTTCAAGCCCTAACCCTCACCACTCCCACATTAATTCACATAACTAATGCTTTCCCTGAGCAGAGAACAGATGTCTAGTCAGGGAATTAACTCATGTTGTCAAGCATACAAGTCAGGAGTAGGAGTAGATCAACCATTTTGAAATACAAGTGCTACTAAATCAAACTACCACTTGAAAAGCTAATGCAATATTCTGTTGCACAAAATGTGTAACTATATGCGTTTATTTTAGTAAGAAGACAAGAGATCAGGTATAATTATATGACCTTCCGTAGCTTATGTCAAGAGCTGGAAAAGAAACACTTGGGAGAGAAAACTAAGAAGCAAAGCATGTTAAGGAGTGTTCATGCTGCAAAAAACCTCCCCAAAACCGCAGAATTAGTTGGAATTACAATTTTGCTGTTTATTTACCTTCTTATTAAGCCAGTGCCACAGCTTGTCAGTGGCAGAGGGAGATGGAAGAAAAGGGAAAAAAAGACAAGAACACAGTGGAAAATTATTGAAAAATGCAGTAATAGAGGGAGGGGAAAGCAATGAGAGGCAGGCAGTCACCCACAGAATGAGAATGAAATTGTTTCAGACACAAAATTAACTTGTAATAGGAAGAAAAGAGCATAAAAACTTCAACAGTAAAATATACATTCTTGCACTTAGCATGCATTTTTTAAACAAAGGGAGATATAACAAGTAAAAACAAACAATGATATTAACAGAGCAATCAGCATAACCTGGTCATTATTCTGAGTGCTAACATTTCAGATTTCAGAAGGGGATTTGCACTCCAAGAAGGACACGTTACTGAAACATCAAAACTTAACATGAGATACTTAATGATTACATTTATATTCCCACCCAGGCAGTTTCGTTTGTTATAACACTAGAAATAATAGGGATGTTTTGAAATATTTTCTTAGTTCCACATTCGTATTATTACAACATTCACATTCAATGTCTCAACATGGAAAGAAATCTGACATACACACAAAAACAAACCGTAGATCAAATCAACGTACGGCCTTCATTTAATCCCATCAGTTGCACAAAAGGCTCTTCATTTCTTAACAGACCATTTTCTCTCTTGTACAACTGTGCTGTTTTAATTATTTTTTATCTTTTACTAATTCTCACACAAAGCACTCAAGTACACTCGCTTAAAGTCTAGTTTCTATTCGATTATACTCTTAACTCTTGCTATTAGTAATCAGTTAGCAGCATAACAACAGTGAAAAGCTTTAACGCTATTACTCATCTGTGTGAGAAGTTAAGATGAAATAAGTTAAGTTTGCCCCTCCTTGAACACAAGAAAAGTTATTAAACTCTTAATTAATCCAGGGTGAGTTTTCACCAACTGCCTAAACTTGCATTGGCTCCCAATGAAAACAAAGCATTCCTAATTAAAAAAACAAAAAACAAAACAAAAAAAAAACAGAAAACAACACTCAGCGTTAATTAATTTTTTATCAGAAGCAAGATTTACAAGGAAATATGAACACCAGGAAATCTGAAAATAGAAGACATCACAAAGCACCCAGTTGTTTTCCTATGTAGTTATATGGCTTTAGTATGCCCAAGGAAAGCAGAACAGTAGTGGAAAAAGGCACAGCAAAGCTTCAAAAGCTTCAAACTGACACTGTACAATTTCTTTCTATTTTCCTTCTTCACCTATGGCATAATTTATAACAAAGGTTAGAGCCTCAGTCTCAGCCAGAGCTTTTAGCAGAATGTGAATTTCTGGCATTTTTATAAAGTGTATGCCTCTTGTGATTAGTTGATAAATACAGTAACAAGGAAATATCACATGCTAAAAATAACAATCATTTTATTAATTAATGTTTAAGAGAAAATCTGGGGGGGGCTCTACTTGCCTATTATCTTACCAATATCTATATTTAAGTAGTTCTATAAGTAGGATAAATATACATTTAAGAATAGGTTATTAAGCTTAAAACTAACATTCTGGTCATTCAAAACAAATCAGGCTACAGCAACTTTTCCAGTTAATTACTGGAAAACCATTTATGTAATATCTTATATGTCTATGAAACTAATTTCTAGAACAACAAATGCACTGGTAGTGATTCTGTCTGGCTTCTTCTTGCTTTAACTATATGCTAAAGTTCGTACCTGAGGAACCAAACCTCGATATTATTCCAAACACCCTACTGAAGTCCTCCACTTATAAAATTCTAGTATGCTTTACCTAGAAGCCCTGTGCAATAACCATGGATTTGCTGAAGTCTATCAGAAAGGATGCACGCAACAATATACCAAAAATACAGAAGTGCGTGCAGATCCTCTGATTATGCTAACTACCCAGAGAATTCAATGAAGCAAAACTACAGTCACCATGTTTAAAGACAAAGGTGTTGTTCTTTTTTTTAATTTTCAGACTGAAGCAAACTATTAGTTCTTGACTGTTAATGAGAACATGCACGATTCTACTGAGTTGCAAGGTGAATAAACAGATGACAACAGAAACTTTTTCTCCTCCTTCCTCCAGCAAACCCCTACGTTTGAATCGCTGAGTCCATCAGCTCCAGGGGCCAAATCTATAACTAGGCACTAATGAGTACAGTAATGACACTGTTTTCATAGTCCATATTTAAACCAGATCTGCACGTACGGGCACATCCTGACATATTGTTTAGAATGAAAATGTTTAGAATGAAATTGTTTAGAATGAAAAGCAATGCCCAACTTATCTCTGATGAGATCTTCAATTCAAATTTTGTCTGCGTTTCCAGTAAGATAACCAGGAACAATGAAAAAGAACAGCACGTCTTTTAAAACAAAAAAACACCCTTTTTTTTAGTTAAGAAATAGATCTAACCCTACTGGCATTGCTTCCCAAATTCTTGGAGATAGGATGCATTCTTGATCCTATGTGGCACAGAACAAGCATATCCAGCAGAACTTAAAGATTATGAAAGCATTAATGTGACAAATACTGGAAGCCCACACATAACTCCAGTCACCCATGAGACAAGTGAATCACAGCAGGCACGAACAAGGACAATACAATCATGCAGCATATCAAACGCATTTCTTTTAATGGCTAAAAGAGCTTGGATTGCTTTAACATACAGCACAGACACAGGAGTATGACCGTTAGCTAAAAAACAAGGGAGATGATGAAGTAGTGTATTTTGTCCAAACTGTTCATTTGCTTAGACAAGAACAATATGAGTATAAACTGACCTTCAGTACATTTAAGCTGAAGAGTGGGAAGTTCTGGTGCACATTAGGACAAAAACCCTACCTTTTTCAAGGAAAAAAAGGCTTAATAGAATTAGGAAACATCCTTTATTATGTAGTTCTGTGATACGAGAACACTAAACTCAACAACACAGGAAAGACAAGACATTACTATTCTGACAATACAGTACTATTCTGTCTAGACAGCCTTCTTACTTTCAAAGCAAAAGCTTTTAGTAAAAATCTTCGTACATTGTAAACTTTCTTCCTCTTTAACACGTTACGTTTTCCCACTGTCTTCTGAAAACCCCTTCAACTTGTTCCTAGCTGTATTCTAAAAAGGCTTTTCTTTTTCAATTTATTCCTCAGTTAACTCCATGGAACTGTTATTTATTTCCTACACCCATAAAATCTTTCATTGACCTACTGGCATCCATTTACCCACTAGATCTGGGCTCAAATGTCTGCTTTTCCTGTAGGAATTCAGAGGTATTATCTGCAGATATCGGTCCAGTTGTAAATGCTTTGACAAATTTACTTACAGGGTGCAGACCTCATGTTTCTGAAATTCTGACGTAATAGTTTTTTCTAAAGCAAGAATAATTCAATAGAACTGTTACAGAAAGTACATTCTTAAAAATTGGCAAAACTTACAAACAAAATAATTCATCAGGTTAAGTGAAAACTAGTAACTGTGAAAGGAGGAGCCTTCCTAAATTTTCTGGGGCTTTTTGACTCTGCAATTTGCAGTGCACATGGGGATGCATTTGGAAGGGGGATGAGGGAACTGAGAGTATTACAGAAGTCTTACTCTACAGGTCTTCCCAAGTATCTTATCCGTCATATTACTTCTCCTACAAAAGAAAACCTCCATTCTTTACCATGCTACTGTGTTCAACAACTACTTGTCCATATAGCATAAACAAATGCATTCAAGCTAACTCAGACCCTTCATTCTGCACAACAGAAGAAGAAACGTTTCATCTTTCACTTTCCAAGCTCAGTAAGTTGAACTTCAAGATCTTTGCAACCAGATAAGGAGACTGAACTTAAGAAGTTTGCAAGACTCAGGTAAGGAATCTTTTAAAGCTAACTCAACTTTCGTAAGTGACTTCTTTCAGGCTCTGTGCACACTGAACAAAAGTTAAACGTGTACTTCAGTGTGAGTGGTGATAGAAGAGACAAGGTCTAAATTACACTGTAAGACAGATATACTTTTACATGACAGACATTTCTATTAGTGACAGACATTCATTTTGGAGGTAAAACATCTCAGCAAACAGTTAACATAGAACAAAACAGATTTTTCAGTTGCTTAAGAAAGTAAGCAGAAATACCTTACTGTCAAGCTTCAGCATGACCCTTCCAAGCCCTCTGATGGGACGCGGTGCAAGAGCTTCCTGACGTTCTTTCACAAAGTTTTCAACAAGTTGCCACCAACTTTTGCAGCGTTTTGCCATGAAACTCAAAACTCCAAAATGAACCACAAGTTTTTTTAGTGCCCAAACTGCAACCACAAGAAGGAAATAAGAGGATTAGTGATTTCCAGAGGAGCACCTCTATGCCAGTATGGAAGACCTATGAAAAAGAAAGAAAAAGTTTTATTTCACATTAGAAACCACCTTGAGAATTTTGAAGTGATTTTACTACTAATCTCCTCATTCACTTAACAGACACACTTATCTATGCTGAATTCAAACTGCACAAGAACAGAAGTGCCCACGCACTGCACATTTAGGCATCTAAGATTTCAGCAAGGCCTAAGATAAGCAGGCGCCAATCCGTGATTCCAGTACAGTGGGTTTATCATATGTTCACATACAGAGCACAAATATCACACTCAGAACTTATTAACAGATTACACGTAAGAGAAGTTCTTCACTCATTCCTTGAGTTTTAGGCCTTCTATTCTGCTAAATCTATATATTTTATCAAGGTACTCAGCAGATCACAGAGTATACAAACCTTCAACTGAAATACAACTACTGAGAATTTTTGCTTTTAAACATTTAAAACATTGAGATATTGAGATCAGCTCTGTATCTTGGTTTGAAGATCATCACAAAAAGCTTCAGAAAAATCTATGCTGCTCCTCAAAACCAGATAAAAGAAATAGAACACAGAATGGTTTGGGCTGGAAGGGACCTTTAAGATCATCCAGTTCCAATCCCCTTTCTATAAGCAGGGACACCTCCCACTAGACCAAGTTGCTCACATCCCCATCCAGCCTGGCCTTCAATGCTTCCAGGGAGGGGGCATCCACAGCTGCTCCGGGCAACCTGTTCCAGTGCCTCACCACCCTCACAGTATTTTTTCCTAATATCTACCCTCCGCCAGTTTAAAATCATTTCCCCTTGTCCTGTCGCTGCCTGCCTTTCTGAAAAGTCCCTCCCCTGCTTTCTTGCAGGTACTCGAATGCCACTATAAGGTTCCCTCAGAGCCTTCTTGTCTCCAGGCTGAAGAGCCCCAGCTCCCTCAGCCTGCCCTTGTAGGAGATGTGCTGCACACCTCTGACCATTTTCATGGCCCTTCTCTGGACCCACTCTAACACAATGAACTACTCTTCTCTTTCCTTTTGAAAAGCAGTGTTTTGCTATCACAAATAGCTTTTCTCCAATATTCATAATGTGGATCCACTGTACTTAACAACACTAGAAAAGTCTAGCACTACAGTTAAGGAAAAAAAACCACAAAGGTATCTGTTCACCTCCGATAAGATACTGCCCAGAGACTTCCACACAAGTCTTTTTCTAAGACATCTCTATTCTCCTTCGCTTACTGAGTATATACTCAAAACTAGTAAAGAATCATGATAAAGAATGTGAAAGCAAAGAAAGAATGCTACATACAAAACTCTCCTTATGGGCCTTTAATATCCTGATGTTTTTTGCCATATTCTTTTTTATTCAACCTTTGTATTACAATTGATTTTACTGGAATATCAATGAGAACATATGAGTCGCTAAAAACATTACACGATCCTTTATATCATATTTACTGACCTCCCCATCACTAGATTCAAACACAGTTTTAAAAAAGATTTTTTTTCTCCACATTACATGCATTACTCACTGCCACACTTCCATACTACAACAATCCTCCCGTCATGCAAAACACTCATTATGCTTCTACTTGGAGATATCCAAAATGACATCCATGGCCCCAAAGGCAAACTTTTAACATCCACAGTGCATTTATCAATATTCCACAAAAGCCTATTATGTTAAAGCAACTCAGGTATACAAAGAGCTCGCTCAACAGTTCACTGAGATCTGGTTTGCTTGCCTCTGGCACCATCATGTGGCAAATACAGGATTTAGTCTCTTAAATTAGATAATCTAGTAAGCTTTCTTATAGAGATCATCAGACAAACAAACAGGAGAAAAGCATCAGTGCCAACCTACAGCACTTGTAGGCTGAAGCTTTGTATGATAGAATGCCACTGACGGTAAATACACTAATGGCAAAACAGGGAAAGTTTGCATTTTCAAGAAGCAAGTGACACATTTGAAACGGCGTTCTAAACTTTTGCTATTATTTAAATACAAACATTTAAGCAGTATCTTCTAAAGTAACTGACTGTACACATTCTGCAAATGTGTTATATAGAGGTCCAACAGTCAACCACACAGCTGAAATTAGATTAGGATAAAGAGTCGAAAGAAAAAGCGAAATATATATTTGACAGAACAAGCAAGCAAATGAAAGAGCTTAAGGCAAGAAAATACCAGGCTGACATCACTGAGCAAATGCTACAGAGTGTCCCAAAATTTGGTTTATTGCTTAGCTTTTGAATTCAAAAGTTATCCTTCTACCTTTTCATTTTGTGGAATAATTACTTTCTATCCTCTACATTAAGCAATTTTAAAAGCATCTCATTCCACTGAATGAAAAATTATTTCAAGAAAAAACATTAATGGTTGCAAGATATTACTAATAATCTAAATCCTGTTTCACTTGCATCCTTTCTACTAGTGTGAGTTATGCTACCAAAAGTAACCCCTTCAAACTTCAAGATTTGTTACTGTCGTTTGTTTTCAAACACACTAGAATCAATCTCCTCCAGGTCTCTGAATTTAAGTATATTTATCAGCCTCAAAATTGGAAAGTTGCAAGAAAACCTGCTTTATACGCCCCGCTATTTTCCACCACTACATATTTTTAATACCACTTCTCTTTTAACAAATCGGGTTTATTCCCATCTGCTTTCTCACACTTGATGTGACCCACTCGTATAATTTCAGCTCTGTTCATCATTATACTGACTTCTCATAACATTTTTGTGGTGATCGAGTTACATTCATTGTCCGTGGCTAAGAAAAAGCACTTACTGGCCCAGTGTTTTTCGTAAGACAGCAGATTACAAACATTCTCAAAATTAATTTCTGTTTTGGCTTGAGTTGATTGCTCAGGTAGCTGATTTAACCTTAGGGACTGGCAACAGTAGTATTCATCAATTTCAGTTATAGATTTGTGCTCTGATCTAAATTTGTCTGGATCAAGCTTACAACCAACCACTGTTGTCTGCCTAACTGCAAAATTATTGTGCCCATTTTTCCCTCCCACACAAGCAGTTATTTCCAATGATTACATCACCCTTGAGATTTTTAGGAGACTGGAGAGTCTATAATGTCTCTGTGTACTAGGTAGCAGAGTGGCCTCCATGGAAAGAGACTAGGGAAGAGTATGGGATGGTTCCAGCCAGCTCCTCAATGAGCCACAGCTGAGCCACACGTACTGCCTCCATGAAAGCATTCTTAAAAAAGAGCAGAAAATGCTAGAGAAGGAGAGGAGGAAGGAACGTAGAAGAGAACAGGGAAGAAATGAACAGAGAGGAGGAACAAAAAGACCAGAGGAGCAGAAGCATCCCATTAGAGAGCAGGCACACTCACAGGGACTGCGGCGCTAGACAACGCGCCTCAGTAGGGGCAACACAGCCTATGGATAAGCCCACATGGAAGCACAGGGAAAGAGCAAGCAGCTTTGTGGCACTTTTGCTGCTTGCTGGACCCACCCACAAAACTTGGAAAAGGGGTAAATAGTACTAGATACATTAAAAATGCTGATAGTTAATGTTTAGCGAAAAGCCAAAAGAAATCAAGGAACTCACTTTGTTTACAGCTAGGGGAAAAGAGAATTCAGATTCACAGCAGGCCACATTTATTTCTAGAGTTCCTATCTTCCCTATCTACCCTCCAAGAAAGGCTACTGGAGTGGCATTCAGCTTTTAAATCACTTCCTCAGACAGCTATCAAATATTCCATTCTTTCTTGATATGTAACACAACAGATGCACAGACGTGAAGTGACAAAGCCAATTAGCCCGAGAGCTAGAATTAGAATCAAATTTATCTCGTGATTTGTTCACAGAATTCAGCAAAATATTTTTAATGGAAATTAAAACAGATATATGAGTTGCACTTCAACAGTTAATAGCAGCAAAAATATTTTCTGTCAATACGTACAGAAACATGAAAGACAAGACATCAAGAGGAAGAAAACTAAAGTACTTCAAACCAAAAGCATTCCTACAATCTAAGGTGTGGCACTAAATTGTTCCAGGTAACATACGTAGTGACGACAGTCATCGGACAAAGCAATTTTACAGTGACTGTTGTCCACTACACGGTAACAGACAGCCCACATTAATCCTATTTGAAACTACAGTTCAAAGATAACATTGATGCTGTTGAACTCTGAACACCTGAAAACAGAAAGTCATTAGAGCTTTTTAAAATGTAAAGCTTTTTATAAGCCTATAGGCCTTTTCTTTTACTTCACTTTACACAAAGCCTACAGCTACCCAAAGTCATCATTTAAAAAAACACACATAGTAATTATATTACTACCTGCAAAAGGCACTGGCAATAGCTGCACAATCCAGAAATTTAGCCAGATCTGGACAATAACAATTGCCCACACAAGTGTAACGAAGTAAACATCACTAGTTTTCTTTTTTTTAAGAAAAGAACCAATCTCAGGTCTTTGTCTGTTCCCAGAAGACGATGCAGAGGAGAAAGATGACGAAGTTTGTGGAGGTGGATCACCTTCTGTGGCATCTAAAACAAACAAAAGCAAGTTATCACATTAATCTCCACCACAGAACAGAATATTGCTCCCTACAGCCAGCTTATCTTGTTGTTGATCTTGTGTTGTTGCTATTTTTAGTTCTTTGTAATTCCACTAGATGACAGGGACAGCCTTGACACCGATCTGTGACTTGAAAAACTAGAACAGGACTGCATAGGCTTTCCCAAATCACACATCAGACAGTACAGGTAGGAAGAGAAAAGAGATGCTACAGTCTCTAAGAGGCCTCTTATTGGCACTTGTTAATTGCGAGCTATATGTACTTTAGCAAACAACCACAAAAATCTGGAAACCTCAGGAAAGCAGAAATTTTTGTCTTAGATCTTTTCAAGGACTCAAAAAGAAACTCAGATTTGCTCAAAACTCTTTTAAGCAAAAAGGAGCATAAATCAAAGAGGGTGCTTATATCTTATAATCTTCTTACTACACTTTTTTGAAAGCTCACATTACAAACATAGCACTCACTGTGATTCTGATTTGTCTAAAGCAAGCACAGGTTAGTAGATAACAAATGTTGCCATTCATTTATAAACCAGCAAAGTTCAATTTGAAAATAAATGTAAGGTGACGGGTTAAAAATGATGTTATTTAAGAGTAAACAGCAAATAGTAACTTCAGGCAAAAATACTATGTCCAAATTAAAGTTCTTGTAAATAGAACAATCTCTTTCTGTGAATACCAGTATCAGCTTTTACTGCATCCCTGCTGCTCGGCCCCTTGAGGCAAAAGGAAGTTTCCCATGCAACATCATATGAAAAACATAGCCATAATGGAAGAATGGGAATATAAGAAAACCTGAAAAGCTACTCTGTGCTAATGAATAAAAGGTAATTTGCTGTGTCGTACACACAGCAGCAGGTAAGCAATGAAAACTGGATTCATGTCACATCAACAGCACTTTCCCCCCATAAACAAAAACTGCTTTAGAAACTGTGTAACAATACGACGCATACATTAAAAAAAAACCACACACATCATACATGCAATTTTAGCTCTAATGCACCTTTACTAAAGACACTCCTAGACTAAAGCATTAACACCTTAAGCAGAGAAAAGGCAGATTTGTCGCATGTGAACAAGTGGTAAGTAACAGATTCTGCCACTCCACACACCTGATGAATGCTCTTCTTTTGTTTTAGAAATCTACCCTGGTCTTTCTACAAGTAAGGGGAACTACTTTTAGAGCTTATTATAAGTACTTTGAAACCTCACCAATACCACAGAACAGATGTACTGATTCAACTAACTGACAGACACTGGAAGATAACAGAAACATCAGCTGGTTGCAGGTAACATATCTGGTGAATATTCTCAAAGGGGTTACAGGAGGCAATCTGAAAGAAGGAGCTCAGCAAGCAGCCAAATTCAGCAGATGGCCTAGGTGGAGTGCTTCTTAGCAAATCAGTTCACGTTTCAAACAGATGAAGGCCAGCTCTCTCATATATGAACTTTGGATAAAAAGATCCAAGCTAATTTTTCATAAGGGGAAAGGAAGTTACCTGTAAACAGAAGCTTTCCTAAAAAGAAAGGCAGAATGTTACTGTCATAAGAAATAAAGAGGTCTATCTTTCCCCTGTACCTTGCAGTTTAAAGAAGAAAAAAAAAAAAAGCACAAATGTTTAATAATAAAGCACTAAAGAAAGCAGTATGTTCATAATCGAGAATTTTCCCCATCTATTCAACTTACTCAACACCTTTCTTTTTTACTTTTTCTCCAGAATTGCTATAATCAGTATAAGAAGTAACGCGAAAACAAGCAGAAACTCAAAGAGAAGACAATTCTAAAAGCCACAATAGAAAACAATGGAATTTAATTTGGCGAAGCCTTCGTCTCAAGATGAAAGTTATCTGATACTTTTTGCCCCAAAAGCACTTAGTACTGTCACTTTTATGAAAGAAGAAAAGAATATTACCCCTTCTGGCAATAAAAGTGTGCTGGAATGGATTTCTGCTATAAAGAAAACTAAGTAACTCAACAATAATGTTGAGTAGTACCAATTAAACTCAATCATTCTCTTTCTCTGTCACTTACTCTAGAACATAAGCAGACTACAGAGAATGCAAAACACAGGTGGGAATAAGATGACAGGAAAAAAAGAACGTGGGAAGAGGAAAAAAAGACTACAAAAATCCTTGGAAATACTAGGATACAATAGCTTTTTCAGAATGTAGTTTTACAGTACTTTGAGCCAAACTGTACTGGAACTGCCAATGACCTCATATTATTCTTCCCGTCAGACTTCTCAGTGTCAGAACTGCCATTCAGGTGACTATATCATAAATTCACGGAATGGCCTGGGTTGAAAAGGACCACAATCATCACCTAGTTTCAACCCCCCTGCCATGGACAGGGCCATTAACCACCAGACCAGGCTGCCCAGAGCCACATCCAGCCTGGCCTTGAATGCCTCCAGGGATGGGGCGTCCGCAACCTCCTTGGGCAACCTGTTCTAGTGTGTCACCACCCTCTGTGTGAAAAACTTCCTCCTAATATCTAATCCAAACCTCCTCATCTTAGCTTAAAACCATTCTCCCTTGTCCTATCACCATCAACCCATGTAAACGGTTGTAGCCCCTCCTGCTTATATGCTCCCTTCAAGTACTGGAAGGCAACAGTGAGGTCTCCCCAAAGCCTTCTCTTCTCCAAGCTAAACAAGCACAGTTCCCTCAACCTTTCTTCATAGGAGGGGTGCTCCAGCCCTCTGATCATCTTAGTGGCCCTCCTCTGGAGCCATTCCAAGAGCTCTGTATCCTTCAAGTCAGATCACAGAAGCTGATCCAGCTCAAAAAACAAACACTGCAAATGAAACAAGTCAGATTTTGTTGACAAGATGAGCTTTGCAAACCAAGATATGGATGTCTCCTTAATACAAATGGAGGATTATTAGAATCTTCAGAGTATCTTCAGGTTCTACAAAACCTTATTAAATGCAGTCTTTACATATGAGAAGTAGACAGGAAACTCTGTATTTGTCCTTTTCCTGTTGTGAAGGAAAAAAACAGCAGCATTCACAAGCCAAAAAATACAATACTGGCTAATTGCCTCAAAAAAAAAAAAACCCAAAAAACAGAATAAAACAAACAAACACAATAAAAAAGACACCTTCATGAAACTGCTGTAGTTTGCTTCCAGCCAAGAGGGAACTTAACAATTTGAAAACAGAAAAGAAGTTGTCTTGAAGAGGAAAAGAAATTAAAACTAACACGTAAGTTAAAAAAGAAAAAAAAAAACAGCAATAAAGAAAACCACAACTGTTTACACTACAGATCTGTGGGAGACTGCCTCCTAACTGTATGTTCAAAATCCAGGCAAAAACACCACCACTCACTTCTAAAATTAAATATAAGAAAGAGCAATAAAAGAAGGTTGCCACACAATGGCAGTGATGGGCTGCCACACAATGAGTGGTCAGGCACTGGAATGGCTGCCCAGGGAGGTGGTGGAGTCACTGTCCCTGGCAGTGTTCAAGAGGTGTCTGGATGAGGAGCTACGAGATGTGGTTTAATAGCTTGTGGTAGCAGTGGCAATGTGAAGATGGTTGGACTAGATGATCTTATAGGTTGTTTCCAAACTTGTGATTCTATGATTCTATGACAATGCTCCATTCTGAAATTTCAGGATATGTCCATGGTGTTCTGTATTGATTTTCATGATAGTCTTGTAAAATGTAGAAATAAAGATGAGAAAAAAGTATGTTGTCCACAGTCCTTTTCATATTTAAAAAACAAGTCTGTTTTCAAGCACAGTTTACACTGATATATTTAAAATTTGGAAGTGTGTTTGTTTCAACAAAAAATTTCTGAAGAGACTGATCTACATCAACTGCTTTTTACCCAGCTGCTGAAGTAACTTCTTAGTTTCACAGAAGCCACTCTTTAGACACTTTTAACATAGCATGCTCAAAGGATTCTCTTGCACGCTCACTATGTTTCCTCCTCTTCACAATTCCCTCATTACAGAGGATATAAAGAACATCCTGTGTTCAAGTAGACCACTCAGACACAACCAATTTCAAGCTGATGCTTTGGAAGCTTATATTCTGTCAAGTTGAATGACCTGTTTCACAGGAAATTGATGAAACCTTTCAATTGTCAGGTCTCCGTAATAGCTTATTTTTCAAGTCCCACGCCATTCCATAAAGGCCTACTCAGAAAAATGATGGTAAAGCTCAAAACCAGTGATGGATATCTAAACATCCGCTTTGCAACATTCTGAAACCATTTCTTATAGACGTCTGTTGTTTTAAGTGAAATGGCATGACTCAAGCTACATTCTCAAGTAAACTCACTAAAGGAAAGACATTAATCATGCCAGCTGAAAAAGAGAGTGAAGTCTTTTTGTCACTATGATGTACAGAAATTTTATTCTTCTCTGCCTGTACCTGCTCCAGTTATATCTTGTAACAGACAACAAATCAAAAAGAGTAAACAAAGTAAATAAAATAAAGACAAGGAAAAAATGTCCTCATTCTGAGAATAAAATCTGCTAGTTTTCTAGATGTAGACAGCCACATACTATAATTTGAAAGCTGGTTTTTATATATAGCCTTCTTAGCATTTTTTTCAAAACAGATAAATCACTTTGATGAAGTACAAATGTACTATTTTGTTACAAATGAAAAACAGAGGGCCTACTTTGAAATTTGTTCTTTGTTCCTTCTAATTTCATGCTGTCAGAGCAGATTTAAATGTCTTCTTACAGAGAATTCAGTCACCTGAGGGTTGTGAGGAACGTTCATTACTGGATTCATCTTCTGTCACAGAAATTGCCATGGCAATTGTTGAAGCAGCAATGGAAATCATCTGACCAGGAAGCTCTGCCCCTATAAAATATATGTGTATGTAATTTAAGAAAAAAAGAAAAACAAACAAAAAACTCAAGTCCTAAGATGTTTTATGTGTTTCTTGATATCCACTGAAGCTGTCAAATGAAATAAATTATACTGACTGATACTTATCTATAGTCAGTGTTATCAAACACGAATGAGTGCTATTAATTTTAGTATTACAATACAACTGGAAGCAAAACACAAAAGCAGTTATTTACACTTCCCTTGCTAGTGAGCTGCTACTCACAAAGTCATTTGCAGTTGCTGACAGTTCAGCTAATCTAAAAATCTCTACAGCAGATAGTTTTACTAACCAAGATGATGACGACGTTCAGGAAAACAGTAACAGCAAAACAGGAAAGAAGCTTCCTAAAGTAGCCATACAACTATTACTAGGTAGGAACAGATGACATTTATTTATATCCTAAATTGATTTGTAACAGGAAAAAATTGTTTTTTCTCAAAGTCTAAACACAAACCATAAAACATACATTAACCAGAAATGATTAGATAGCAGAAGCTTGCTGGATGAAGTTGTCTCAATTTCTCTCACACACAATATTACAAGAGCTACTAAACCCATACTGATCCTTTCTTTCAAAATTAGCCTTTGATTCCCTTTTCCCTGCGCTTTCTTTATGCTTGAGGCTATACATAGGATTCTTTAGCGTTAAATTATAGAAATATATTCTAAACTGTAGTTAAGGGGGATGGGGATTGATAATGAGTCGCTACTTTGCTATGGAAAGGAAATTATCCATTTCAAAGATTTTCTGTAAAAAAACCTGAAGATTCACTTCAGCACGCATAAACCACTTTGTTATAAATGTACTAAAATCTTCCAGTAAATTCTTCCAATCCACATGATATTGAATTTACAGTAATACAATCCCGATTCTCGACTTCACAGATCTTTTGCCTCAATTATGAAAGAAATAGAGATTCACTTCTTACCTGAAGACTCCTTTCCGTTCTGCTGGTCATGCAACATGCCTACAGTCATCAGAACAACTATAACCAGGAACACAGGAATTCTCCAGGAGCCTGCCACAGAAGCTGAAAAATACGGTATTTTTAACAACAACAAAAATTAGACTATTAATAATCCCTACACTTAGGAAAACCAAGGTAAGCACCCCACAAACAAAAATCTAGGCAGAAACTAAGTGTCATAAAACAAACATGATTCTTGCATTCCCATGGAAGAATAAGAAAAGCAGGTGAGCAAGTTTCTCTATTAATAAGCCAAGCTGTTACCATTTCTAATGTCAGTGACCTAAACTATGCTGATACATCTAAAATTACATTAAGATATACATGAAGTAAAAACATTTTAGAATTCAGAGGCAAACCAAATCCCCCTTCCTAAAAAGACAGGGATTTATTTTAGATCTCTAGACTGGTTATCAAGCAGTGCCTTCTTGGGCTTCAACTTTTCATCTTGTATTTCCAGAAAATACAAGACTACAAAACATAAGCTAATGCAAAATCGCTATCTGCAGCTACAAACCTCAGCAAAGCGTGCCTACGTGTTCATCACAATCCCTGAAACTTGCTGCTAAAGCAAAGTAAATCACGGAATATGTTCTGAAATCCTTCATCATTATAGTCCTTTATTATTTGCTTAACACTGTCACCATAAACTCATATGATAATGTAATCTGACTTCCTTAACTATGTAAAATCAATTACTATAGTGATATTCTATTATAATCTTATATTTGCATCACAGATTACACAGACTACTGATAAATTTATTTGCTATTGTTGATATAGACTTGCTTAATGACTGCTGACACAGATGGGTTTTCTTGCTTCTAGTACTACTATTAAATGTATTTTACATACGGACGCAATAGAAAAATAATTTGTTACTCACCTAAGTGAAAGAGCAGCATGATCCACACAGGGACAGAGACTGCTTTCAGGTAACGCTCGGTGCTTACATTCCACTTGAATGAAACCATCAACAGGTAACCAACTACCAATGTCCATATCTGTAAGAAAAAGACACACAGGTATGTACAAATACACATAGTACAGCGGTAATAGCGCACACGCACCTCTAGCTGCTGTAGTGAGGAGCTTGATGTCAGGTTCCAATTCTGAAATGTAGGCTTCTTAAAGAAGGATCAAGCACAGGACCTCGGCCTGCATGCGAGAGGGGTGCAAAGTCGGTGCGAAGTGTAAGGAGATAAGGCCACACATGCCTTTGGCCTGACATCAGTACGGTCTGAACGTGAGGGGGAATACACTCTTTGCTTGACAGAAACCCTGGAGGAGGTTATCCAGCAGAGTCCAAGCACCTACTCTGGAACTACTAGGGAAAGATGGGAGTCTAAATGACACAGGGCCAGAAGCAGCACCAGTGGGGCTTTAGGGGACACAGAGCCAGCAGAGCACCACTCAGTCCACCACAGCACAACTTGCCAGCTTCTGTGCTCCAGCTCAAAGAAATAGCGGTGCTTTATACTAAAGACTGTCATTAGGAAAGACAAAAAAAAAAGAAAAGAAAAAAAAAAAGTTTATCCCCAGCAGCTTTCATTCACAAAAGTCATGACTTTAAAACTTGTCAAATGGAATTTTATCAAAACTCATTTTACTGAAGCTATAAAATGGTTCTGCAGTAAAAAATTAAGTACCACTATTTCGGTTACACCACTTGTAAAAAGCAGGTATAAATCTGCTTATCAGATTAATGACATGAGAGACAGAATTCTATAATTAAATCTGGAGATGAAGAATTTAAGCTTGAAAATGATGAAAAGAAGAATGCAGAAACCATAAAAGGCTGCAGGAGATAGCTGATGCACAGTAGAAGAGGTGAAATAAGTATGAAAACTTACTTATAAAATAAGTTAATATTATTAATGGTATAAAAACTTATAAAAGTTTCAATAATGCATTCTTATTAAATATACCTCATACGTGTGAGATACTTCTGCCCCAAATTCAACAAACATTCTGACTCCCTATCCATAACCAGTTAAGAAAAGCTTTGAATTCCCATTCATAAATCCCAACAAAGCTTGAACAGAGCTGTTATTAACTGCATTTGCTGAATCAGACTTCGCTGCAAAAGCTAAGAATGCACTGGCAGAGACAGGGAACAAGCAATTAGGCAGAACAGCAGAACACAGTGAATGAATGAGCATTCACCTCTATTCTGCTTTATGACACGGAAGAGGCAGACCTTCAGTGAAGGAGTCTGTGTGACTACTCCAGCAAAGACTAAAACCTAGAACTTATTACAAGTCATAAACATTAAGATTTAAAATAAATAAATAAATCAGGTTTGACCCATAGCAGCATGCTAAAAGCAACATCAATCAAATTCATCCAGAAGTCATATTGTAGCACAACAGGGAAAGTTCCAAGACGACGCCCTTCTCCTTAATGTCAGCCACACAACATCTGTGTGATGCACATGCCATTGGAGACAATTTTTAACTTTTAGTGGCAAACTACCAACAACAGACACAGTAAGTTCAATCAATTAGATTTTCCAATGAAAAATAAACCAAGAGTGGGAGGCCAGACATGAGCCTATGGTTAATAGCCAACAAACCAAAACGTGCTCCACTGCCTTAAGGTGTGCCTGTAGCTGAACTAAGCTAGCACATGCTGTTGAATAATTACTCCTGTTCTGTTCATCAATACTCATTTTTAAAGCTTGGCAAATGACCCAAGTAGAAGTATTCTTAATTTCTATTGATCAGAGAGAAAGAGATTATTTTAGAATAAATGAGTCATTTTGTTTTAGAAATCGAACAGTAGCAATCCTCAATGCCTGTAAACGAACCATGCAGCCATCTGGCTGGTTCAAGAGGTTTCACCTCAGTGATACTGCAGTGTGATCAACTCACCATCAGTTTACCTTACAGCGAAGAACCTCTCAAAACTCAGTAGAGCTTCCCTACACTGCAAGGGACACGCTGAATGGGAACTGGGGTAGCCTCCTTCCAACAATTCATGGCTGAAAGCAGCTGACAGAGCAAATTAACTCGCATTGACAAAGACTAGGATTTTATCCCTTTCTAACTTGGCAACAGCTTAGTTCTGATTTTTGGAATTTTTTGTTTCTTTAAGTGCCTGTTATATAATTTTCCCTCTTTTTCTTTTTCCCCGGATGGTCTCTAAACATTTTGACTATGAGAACAGTAACATGACCACTGCAACAACTGTCTCCATGGAAATGAAGAATAACAGACACTGTGCTTTCAATGAAATTAAGTTTAACTGTGGATACACAAGCCACCTTAACCCACAATGTACACAGATGTGATTTATGCAGGCACAGTTAACCAGGTAACTAATGCACACTCTTCAGATACTGCAAAATACAGTAGCTGCCGTTAACTGTTTATTAAACAGAAGTCAGTCATAGATGCCTTTCACCATCTACTCTGCATTTTAAATGCTTATTCAATCCAATATTTACACTAATGAACAACCCCCATGTATCAGCATTTAAAAGCTTTCCCTCTTCCTTCCTTCATTTATCCTCATGGTCTGAGCAGACAGAGACCTCCTTCCTTAAATCTGTCTTCCCTTTTCCAGCATTCTTTGCTAAATAAACAAAACAGTTGCTTTACTTTCAGATATATTAACAGCAAACATATAAATAGTAGCAGGTCTAGTATTAACTGGTCTAGTATTAAATGGGGAGGTTAGTGGCCCTGCATGTGGCAGGGGAGTTGGAGATTCTTGATCCTTGAGGTCCCTTCCAACCCGGGCCATTCAGTGATTCTGTGAAATAAGCTGTATACTTCTCTGAACAAACAGTTCTATAACTGCAGAGCAATTTCTCATATTTCAGCATCCACTTTTGGGTTACAGCAGTAACTTTAAAACAGCAGATCTTTAGTTACCTAAGCAAGTCTGAGGGGCTTCAGTTCTCTTTCAATTGCCACCTGGAGTCAAAACTACACCGCAAAAAGGCTGCAGCTTTTACATTAAGCACCTGCTTTAGCGTTTTGATTTCTCTTTTTAACCTTACTGTCAAAAAGTGTAAGATTTATTAGCACAACTGTTTCAACCAATGTTAGCAAAAGACTGTTTTCAGTTCCAGTTGGAAGAATTTGAAAATACAAGAAACGGTTTGGCTCTGGCATCTGTTTTCAATGAGAATGAGCTCTCTCTTATTCCTCAACTCCTCAACTCTTTACAATAAATTCCACTTTTTATTTACAGAGCGCATTCTTGGCATCAGCAGGTTAATCTTTAAGGGAGAAGCTTTATGACTGAGCTCATTTAATACTTCACTGCTAGTGAAAGCAGCACTTCCCTTCTCTCCTACTGATGGAGATGCAGCCTCACCTCTCCTACAGACCATACAATTCTTATTTACTTTCAAAATCAAATTATAGATCGACAGGGGGATGGTTCCAAGCAAGTTGTCTCAAGTATATGCATACCTAGGTCTCATACAAATCCCTATTAAAAAAAAAAGGAATTTCATCATTTTAGCCTTTTGCAATCAGCAGCAGTCATTCCACATGCACGGAGTCTTCTCAGGCACTCCATGCTTGTTTCACAAACATTAAAGCAGTGTTACACCAGATGATGCCAGCCAGAGATCTTGTGACATTATTTCTAACCTCTCCCTCCTCACTGGCAAAGGAATGAATGATGGCAAAAGCTAAGCAGGAAAGTACATTCTTAAAAACTGAATCCATGTAAGGTATTACATGCGTGACTAAAAGCCAACTCTATGCCATGACAAACATCACAATGTTTTCTTCATCTAATTGAAAATGTTTTTCTAAACAAGAAAAAAGATAACACGGTAAGTGAGGAATTATGGACCCATCATTTTTATTCCACTTTTCAGAACCAAAATTCATTTCATGAGACTCTTCTGCTTCTTCCACAGTACACAAGATCCCACAACATGCAGAGCTGAGCAGAATGAAGAAAGCATAACTGACTTTCAGTTCAGAGAGAGTTCTTGTCCAGCAGATACAAAGACCAAAAAACATAACCAAACCAAATTCCCCTGTAGGGAATGCTACTGACCACTTAAGAGCAAACTCATCCTCCCCTTCACTAAGGAAATCTTCATTATTGAGAATTCCATTTGAAAGGAGTGAAAATGAGCTTCAAACTTCTGCAGCACACAACACAAATTATCAGTTTTTATGACATGATTCCGTATTTGTTGTGCTGAAGAAACAAAACTCTGAATACTTCAACAAAATCAAATGCACAGATCAGTTCTGTAGTATTTTAGAGCCTTAGAAGAAGATTCCATAGCTGTGTTTACACTCACATACAAACTTTTCAGGTAAGGGGGCTCAAAAGTGGATTGGATGATGTTTAGATGCCCCTTTCAGCCCAAACCATTCTATGATAACAACTGATATTTTAAATATTACCTAAGCGTGTAAATGACATTGTGATTTTTTCTAAAAAAGTGCAAGCAAGTGTACACCTGACCTATTCCCTGTACTACCCTCACAGGTATAGAAATTCGCATCAGTTCTGCTTCTAGAACCTCCAGTTATGATATATAACCATTTAAATACATTGGATTTTAACATGCCATGACTACTAAACCAGACGAAGCAGAAGCCTGGTGCTCAGCAAGACTCAACTTCCTGAGATGACTCAACTACGAACTTACAATTGGAATTCTGAGTCAAGCAGGAATTAACCTTCAAAATCAATACTGTCATGCACGAGTTAAAAGCATTTTCCATGTCTTCTGCAACATTTCCTGTGCCATGAATGTAAGGAAATACATTACACTAAAATACAGAAATCTGCAGCTATGGGTGCTAACACTTCCCTCCTACAGTTCACATTTCCTATTTCAATGTAAAAATTACTTATGAGAATCTTTGTTAATAAAAAGCTATTCAGGAATCAAACTTTTCCCCCCAGATAGAGAGTGTCTTGTGATGCCATTGTAACCAAAGATGGAGCTTTGATTTACATTAACTTCTTGTTTTATTCCACAGAGCGCACTGAAGTTTTATTGGTCAGTTCTATACCAACATTCCTTTCAGAAGTGGAAAAAAATAAATAATATTGTGTTCAAATAATCAATACCAAAAAATATCCATCTTTACATGGCATTCACCACTAGGCTCAAGACTTGCATCAGCTTCAGGCCTGGAGCTGCACTTCATGCATGTAAATCTAAACAATTAATATGCCTTTTCAGGATAGGCAAGTCCTGAAAGGTTCTCCCAAAGCTGAGGTGGATATGGAAGGGAAAAGGTGGAAAACACAATGAACAGCCTAGTCTTTTCCTGCCCCTCTCCATCCTGTTTTAAATAGGACATATTTTGTGGTTTCTACAAAGTTATCTCTACCATGTTTTGACAACAAACCTGAACTTTGGTTTTGGTAGCATGCGTTTACAGTCAGTAACTGACTGTCTGACTGACAGGTTTTGACACCAAAATACCAAAAGGATGGTTACAGATAGCAAAAAGAATACTTCACAAATCAGCACTGTATTTTTCTCACTTATAGGTATGCCAACATTATAGTCAGATTTAACCCTTTCCTTTGCTAAAAGAGAAATTGCCCAGTAGGTGAACTCTGCAAAATACAGATGCTTTTTCTTCTCCGCAAGTGATCCCCAACAGCACTACAGAAGCAGAACATTATGGATGCCTGCAACCCCAAATGTTTGTCAGGAAGCACATTTGATTATTTCAGTCTGACACGGATGCCTTAAAGACTGCTGACACCTAGTGCCAGCGCAATGGTGTTAGCCCTGGTAGATGTTTTTGATAGTTCCCTGACAGGGAGAATTAGACAATCGACAGGCTAAGACATACAGAGCCTTCTTAGGCAATACGCCATCCAACGTACCGGTCACAGAAAACCGTATTTCCAGATTTGCCCAGCACTGTAGTGAGGAAAGGACCAATTAGGTACTCTAACTGCATGCTACTAGCATAAAACAAGTCATACCAGGTACATTCAGATACAGCCCAGCTAACAGTTTCAGAGACCTACAGTTCCACACACACAGAAGAAAGACAAGACATATTTCTGAACCTCATCAATAACTTATGACAAACCACAGAAAAAAGATTAGCCATCGGAGAAAGATCTTGACAGCTTCATAACCAAATTCACCCTGGAGAATCCTGGCCATTATTACCATATCGAATTTAATTTACTCAGAAGACGAATTTCAGAGTCAATGTAGAATGGCTGCATAATTCATTTCATCTGCTGGGATGTTTATAGAAAACTAAGCATTTTCTAAATAAACACAAGCATTTGACTCCTAATGATAAATAAATAATTAAATAAATAGAATCAAGAGCATTTCCTATACAGCACTGCAACTGCAAAATGTCAGGATAAAGTAACTTGAATTGTCATCATAAAGCAGAAAAATGTCTTGTACCTTAGTCTAGAGCTGGATACAAGATCCCTCTTACAAAGCTACAATGGACACAGCAGTCCAAGATTAGTCTTTAAACAGTGCAAGAACTCTGAGGGCAACTATGCTGAAATTGGTATAGCATATAAAGAGGTATACATAAATATATATGTGTATGTATACATATAAACAGGACATCATCAGTCTGCTATGGGACAAACTCCTCCCTGTTTCAAAAAAGATGAAGGAAAACTTTTTTCTTCCTTGTTAGGTTACTCGATGTTCATGTAGAGCACATATCCTCTGTGCAACAGGCCCAACAGTCTCCTCTATTTCTCAAGCAAGCTTTTTCAAAGAAGGTGCATTAACTGTACAGCACAAAAGGAAAGGGGATGGTGGGTAGGTGATGCTTATAGACTAGCCTCAGATTCTGCACTTATTCTGCAGGATTTTACAACTACTTAAAGACTGCGCCTATCTAGGATTCCCAACTCAAACTGCAGATGTGACAAAGAAATCCCAGACAGGAATGCAACCATTTCTCAATCTTCATTCATCAACACTGTGAATGGCTTTTCCAGATCTGAGGACAATAGCACTAGAAGGCTCTGCAGTGTAGTGGTGCCAAGATGCAGTTTTCTATGTCACTATCACATGCTATTCCTGCATTTGGAGAACACTGTTCTGGAAATAAGAAATTCTGTATCACGGCTTGGTAGGTATCATAAAGATACTTTTAGAACACCAAATGGTACCCAAATAAACCACAATTTTCTCAGTCAAATTCTAACAACAGACACCTCTCACTCCCCTTGTACAGCAGAGGGTGTCAGAAAGGTAGGAGAGAACTGTGCAATGTTCATCCTCTCTGCAAGTAGCAGGGCCAGCCAGGCGATGCAAAGCTCCCAGTGAAAATAACTTTACACCTTTGCTAGACAGAACTGCGTGTGCCTGGAGCACAAACAATCACAATTTGTAAGATAAAAGCTGCCATAAACAACTGCACACTGCTACCCAGATGCAGCTCCCACTGTCAAAACCAGACACACTGCAACAGGCATTACTGTATCTTTTTTAGGCTTTTACTAAATTATGTTCCTGGCAAAAAAGTGTTCCTGCTGGATAAGGGAAAAAATATATATTTATTCTATATTAAGTTGTTGTGTACTGAAGTATTTCCAAACACAGAAATCTGGATTGGCCTAGCAGGCTGCTAAAATTAAGGGCAAAAAATGAGACAACCATCCCTTTAACTTATCACAGAGTATCTACTAACAAATTTTCATGCACAATAATATAAAGAACCATTCAGATCCCAGAGAACAATGAAGCAAACTGACTTGCAATATGCAACATTCCTGTGTAGCTAGCAAGCAGGCCATACACATGCAAACATGCTCCTGCAATCCAGCATGGAAATTAAGCAGCTTTAAAATGCTTAACTGAAATCAAAGCAGATGCAGCTCAAGGCTCCTCAGCAGCATGGATAAAATTAAGTTACTCTGCTGCAACTTTGAGATTATACGAGTGATGCAGAAGAAAAGTCCACAAAACTGCAATAGGAAAACACTATAAAACGCATGGAAGATGTCTGGCTGAGCAGAGGAAATTCACAAGGGGGAACACTGGGGTTCTCTCTTGTCCAGTGTCTCAGGAAGAGAATTGGGCAGTGTCACACGTTTCTTGAGCACTTCCAGGAACAGTGCCTCCACCACCTCCCTGGGCAGCCTGTTCCAATGCCTCACCACTCTTTCTGCACATTTCTTAGGAAATGTGTGTTTCCTAGTTACCCAACTTGAATCTCCTCTGGTGCAACTTAAAGCCATCACCTTGAGCCCTATCACTAGCTAGCTTAGCTGGCTACTGGTTTGCTTAAGGAAGACCACAGTTAGCTCTTCTGACTTAAACCCCATGGAAATTTAGAAGGCTTTAGAAGTTCTGGGAACTTCTTTTTTCTTCCCAATTAAAATCTTACAGCACTTCATCGAACAGGAAGGTCGCTTTAGAAGCACCAGAACAAAGCAGAAGAATCAGACACAGCGAACAAGCCTGCGGTGAGCAGGTACGGCCATGGAGTAGTGCACTACTTAACTTCTTCTAGTAGCTTTCTACATGCCAGCCATCATTACAGCGTGATTAACCAAGTCCAAAAAAGGGACTGAACTTAGCCAAGTCGCACAGCCTAGCAACAACACGTCTGCATAAGACGTTTACCAATCCAGAGGGAAATCTGAAGCTTAACAAGGTAACGGCACAGCAACTGACCAGAACTTCTAGTCAGTACTGACAAGCCACGCTTGCGTTCCTTCACCACTTCACCGCAGGTAAATGGAAACGCTCGTAACTTCTCTCTTTATAAAAAGAGAACGCCTGCCTGTCCCGCCTGTTCAGCCTTAACCACACTCGCGAGGACTAAACACATCTCCCCGACACTTTCCAGCGCACGACAATACTTGGGAGCGGAAAGCCGCGCGCATCCCTTCCTCCCATCTTCACACGCCCTCCAGCCCGCCCTATCCCCACCACAAACACACCGGCGTGCACGGCTCGAACCACCCTGCGGGACGCCCGGCGGCACACGCGCCCGGCCCCGCCGCGCCTCCACCGCCCGCCTTACGGCTCCCGCGACCTCCGCCGCGCAACAAGTGAGATGGCGCCGGGCCGCGCCCAGCCCCGCCGCCGCCGCCCCTTCCTCCTTGCCCCGGCCCCGCACTCACCCACTGGCTGCTGAAGTAGTCCAGCCCCTGGCAGATGAGACGGGCGGCCTGGGCCAGCAGCACCTGCACGCCCAGGGAGCTGCCCAGGCAGTACAGCCCGTAGAGCAGCGGCCCGCCGGCGCCCAGCAGCAGCAGGAGCCGCCGGCGCCGCAGCACCTGCTCGCCCAGCGCCTCCACGCCGTAGTTGGCGAAGCAGAGAGGCAGCAGCAGCGCGGCCAGCAGCACGGGCGTGCGGGAGCGCTGCAGGCGGCCCAGCCAGCGGCGGCCCAGCGCCGTCAGCGAGCTCTTGAAGGGGTGCAGGAAGGTGCCGCACAGTACGGCCCACAGCAGCGGCCGCAGGAAGGCCTCCAGGATGAAGTAGACCAGCACGGCGGCCCCGCAGCACAGCCCCGCGAACAGCAGCGCGCCCGTGTTGTAGAAGGCCTGCTTGATCGGCTTCTCCAGCCGCGGCAGCGACATCCCCGCCGCCCCGGCCGGGCCGCCCAGCGGCAGCCGCGGCGCGGCCGCCGCCGCGCCCTCCGCCCCGCCGGAGGAGACGCCCGGCCGCCGCCCCGCCGCCGGAGAGCCCGGAGGGGCCGCCGCGGACCCTCCGCCGTCAGCCATGGCGCCCGCCCCGCGGCTCCGCTCCGGCCGCCGGTGCCAGGGGGCGAGGCCGCCGCGGGAGGCGAGGGCGCGGCGAGGCGGCGGGGCCTCTAGTGCCGCCGCGCGGCTCCGGGCCCGGGCGGGGAAGGGAGTTGCCGTGGGGAAGGGTGCCGGGAAATGTAGTTTTCCTACGGAGGAGCCCGCGGCCGCGCCCCCCGAAACGCGGCCTGACGGAGCGGCGAGGCGAACGGGAGGGCGGGAGCCCCGCGTGCCTTCCTTCCCTCTTGGAAAATCGCTGGGCGGGGGCCGAGGTTGTCCGGCTCCGCCGCGGCTGTTACTGACGGGTAAGAGAGAGGAGCGAGGTGCTGCGCAGCCCAGCGCACCTGGGCTCGGCAGCTCGTCCTCGGCCCGTGCCCTGCGGCCCCCTCGTAGCTCCGTTAAGCTCTCTTCCGTTCCCAGCATTGCACGCTTCGGGAGCAGGTAGTGCTCCACAATGCAGCGTCATTGCAAAGGTGGAGAGCAAGACAGGTCGGAGCAACTAGAGAACTGTTCTTGCCTGAGCCCGCTCTAGCAGCAGGCTGTTTCACTGTGCTTTTACTGAACATTAAACTCACCAGAAGTAGTAGTTCTGACGGGATATTTAGACCTGACGTTTGTAATTTTATGTTGTGTATCATTTTATTTGTTTGTGAATAATACAAGGAGGAACTACTTCCCTTCATCAGTTGTACACCAGACACAATACATGAGGTGCCAGCTAGTGTTGTAGAGGCAGTCTAAATGCCTCTATTAAAGTGATTGACCTGAGGGAGTCTTTTCAAGTGCAGGGATCCACTACATTTGAAGTTTGCCTATTACAGCCTTGAGCAACCTTCAGCAGGTACTGAACCTATTGGCAGTGCCACCACGAAGCCTCTATAGTGATGCTCCTGAAAGTGAAATGTTTTATAACATCTGTAACTCAATGACAGCAGAGCAGCAAGGTCCCAGGCTGGAACAAGTGAGGATCTGCTCATAATGCAACAGTCACAGAAACAAAGGAAAGGATTTGCTTACCTTTAGAAGGCCTCAAGGTGTTCAGGGATCTCCAGCAAGATACCCTTGCCTCCACTGCCAACACTTAAATGAGGTCTGGGAAGGGATGGATCCTAGCTTCACCCTTTCCAGTCACTCAGATGCATTGCATGCACCTGAACTCCTCTGGATTGGCCCTGCCTTCCCACCAGGTGCTCAATCACTGTTTCAAGCCTTGACTTAGCATTTCCACTACACCTCTAAAACATAGAGTTTGCATGCCTCTGAACATATGAAAAGTGCATGCCAACTGGAACTTATTTTGTTTTAGGATTTGCATACAAGTTTAACGTTATGTAACATGATGATAGATTTGCAACCACCAGGACTTTGGAATGTTTCTTGTGCAATGCAGGCTGCAATTACCTTGAGAACAATTATTTTTAACTCATAAAATGGAAATACATCTGATCATAATCCAGTTTTGAAAGGCAGAACAATATAAAGAATCATAGAATCATAAAGATTGGAAATGACCATTAAGATCATCTAGCCCAACCACCAACCCGTCCTCACCATGTCCACAGATCGTGACCCTCAGTGCCACATCCACGCAGTTCTTAAATGCCTCCAGGGACAGTGACTGTACCCCCTCCCTGGGTAGCCTATGCCAATGCCTCACAACTTTTTCTGAGTTGCTGTTTTTACTAATATCCAACCTGACAACAGACTATTGCAGAAACCTACCTGTGTCATCAGTCAGGGGAGGAAAGTCAGGGCTTTTTCCACACTTCGTATAACTCTAGTGCATCTTACAGCTGTAGGTGGGGCGAGGCCTGCCAGTTTCCTGGAGCTTTTAGCTCGCAGCTCCTACTCTTCCATGCCACAAAGGCTTTGCTGCCAGTTACATATCCATTACTGCTTACAGATGTCCCTCTTGGCTCACGCAGCACCTCATTCTTGTTTGCCAAACAGACCCCATGCAGGTTCAAATGGTTTAACTTCATGCAGCAGAGGCATTTAGCAGAGGCATTTAGAGACCAGGCACTTTGTTTGATCATGATGGTGCATAACAAGCAGCTGTCCATGTGAGAGAGAAGCTCTTACTGCACCTTGAAATGATACTGTCACTCACTTGTCTTTGATCAAATACCTTTTGGAAAAGCTCTGAAATAGCTAACAAATGTGCATTGCAACCTGAACCTTTTCACTTCCTGGGGAAGCATGTCAAAAAGGAGATTCTAATGGTTCATTATAATACATCTATTGCATTAAAATTCAATTAGCAATTGAGATTCGGAGGGGGAAAAAGGATTACTGAGAATAAAAATTCTTCATTTAGATATACAGAGATGCCAGCAAATCATGTCTTCATCGGCACATTGTTATTCCTTTGATTTTTCTTAACAGACAAAGGCAATCACATTCTTCACAAATAGAAATTAATGTCACCTCTTTGCCTTGAAGGAAGCTGTAAGTACTGATTTACATAAGTTAAGAATTTGGTCCATACTGTAGAAAACCTTCCCTATTTAATTGCAATTCACCAAACATAGCAGAAGGTTAAAAAAAAAAAAAAAAAAGTGCAAGGAAATGGCAATTGCTGTCTCGTGTTACTACAACACGAACACTGAAAAGCAGGGATGTGAACACATAAAGCAGTATCTAAGGTGACAGGGAGGATCTTCACAAAATACTACTGAAGGTCTGAAAACTTAATTCGAGAACAGATTTCAGGCAGTGTTTGCAGCCTTAACAGCCAATTTTGTTGAACACTGAAGTGTAATGTAGTTTTAGATTAGACAGCAATTTAGATATAGATTGCCCTGGCACTTTGTGTTTTAAGGACTTTTATGGCCATAGGTGTATAGTGCACCCCAGGGACCTATATTACCAGAAATTCTCCAGCACTGCCTTTGGATGTGAAGGGTGAAGAGGACGGAAAAGGAGTGCTTTTTGGCCATATAGAAAACCTGTGTGCCTAAAAGTACGTATGTGGTAAACACTGACAGTCCTTGATGCTCTCCTGTAGATAGTAATATAAAATGAAATATTATCTCATGAATAGATAAACTCGTAACTTCTGTCTGCTGCAGCATTAGTGATTATGTGTGTTGAACTGAAGCTTTCTGAGTGCCCTTTGAAGAAATCTATAGCTCTCATTTGCTTGGCATGCAGTCAACACAGCTGCAATTGCCAGGCAGTCTCAGATTTGATACCAAAATACTGAGTACTGAGGTGGCTGAGAAGCAGAGGAGACAGACAACATTGGCAACAGCAAGTTGATCACGATTCATACCTGTAATAAATGCACAAAATTATGAAATCACCCAGAAATAAAGCCAGCAGGTGTCAGCACTGGTCCGCACATGTGGAAAATAAATCTATCCCTGCTTGGGAAACTGTTCTTTATTTTTGTTTTTAAACCTGTAAAGCTGAATATATGTGTACATGCAGTTGGGGATAATCTCACTTCATTAACTCAGTTTCCTGGAAAAGTAATATCTTGTTCAGATGAAGAAAAAATACTTAATTTAAATGATTACCACTTCAGTAAGAGCTGGGTTAAAGAAATAAAATATATAGCCCTTACAGTTCATCATTCAGACGTAAACTTTGTATTTATAGGTCACTTGGTATTTTAGGCTAAAGGAAAAAAAATAACTTTTATGCTGATCAAAACTGAAGCATTTCTTCAAACATTCTAGAGCCAATTTTTCTTGATGACCGATACAGGACTCTCTCCTCTCCCTTTCCAAACTCCAACTTTATTTCAACATTATGTTTTGGCACTGCTTCAGGAGCTGCTCCGTTTGGCCCCGCAGCAAGGCAGTGATGAAGATCAAACACCCATATCTGAAATATTGGTATCTTGATTATACTTGCATCAAATACATTACAAACACAACAGAGAGGTCACCACAGAAACATCTACGTTCTATTTAGTTACACCAAATGACAGCTGGATTGATTCATTAAAACATAGATGATGTCTTTTACTTACAGCTTCACAGTGATTCTGATGGTGGAAAAGAAAAACATAAGCAGTCTCCCACATCTGTTATTTTGTTACTGTGACCAGGCTCACTGAGTGAAATGGAATTACTAAGGGTAATAAATTGAAACCCATGGAACAAGAAGGAATTATTAACACAACACAGGGCACAGAACTTTTTTTTTTTTTTTTTAACCTTTTATAAATGCCATACCACACACTTATAAGACTAAAAAAGCATTTATTGTAACAGATTTATAAATACTGTATGTCACTGTCAAATAGCTAACAAGGCTCACTTTAACACCAACGTTTAGTATAAAACAGATGTTACAAAGCAATCCTTTAGGGCATGCATTGATTGTAAAATAATCCCATAGGTCACTATCATTCCATTATGTATTCATCCTCTGTTATTTTTATTCAAGAAGACTGACGCATTAATATAAATAAGTTTAAATGCTCATTGTCTTCAAATGGATGCTGGGTATTGGCATACAGAACTGAGTCTAGTAAAAGAAAAAAAAAAAAAACACCAAAAAAACAGAACACCACTTAGCACTATACTTACAAAGTGCTTCTATGTGTTAGACCTAATTTTTATCTTGAGAATGCTGAATGAAATCAAAAGGTGCAGATGACATTTCAGCTTCAAACATTACAATTTATGTAACACAAATCCAAGTGGCAAGTGTTAATGTAGTTATGACAGTCTGCTTAACTGCTAAGAAGTTAAAGCAAACCAGATCTCAGAATATATTAATCAGAAATGCCAAGACATACCTAGCATCTGACTTCACCTAAACAGAACTCACAGTGCTTCAAATATGTTAACAAAATTTATCTTCCTAAATGAAGGCTGGGGACACCACTGAGAACTACGATCCCATTTTTCTAATGAACTTAATAGGTTTGGGATTCCACATTTGACCCTCTGTCAAGACTTGAATGATACTTCCAGCTTTAGTGAAAATTGGTCATTCTTATAATTTCAACTTTTGTCATGGGGTTCATACCATCATGAAAAACAGAAACAGACACCATTGTTTTATAATTGGGTGAGCAATCTAACATTTCAGTAGCAGATATGGAATTTGGCGTTTAAATAATACAGTTTTTGCCTCCTGCATTTTAAGTATGAAATCTACTGTTTCCTCTACAGTTATCCTGACAGTCTGTATGAAAATACTTCCTTGATTCTTTAACATTTTTTTTCATCTTGTTTGGGGGAAAAAGAAATCCAAAACAATAATAATGTGAGACTAATTTTTTTCCACTAAAGAAAGCAACAAGAAGTTAATATATTAAAAGAGCAAATGTGATCCTGTAGCAGGCAACATCACTGTTTTCATATATATTCTTCTGTATCACTATCCAAAAATATCAGCTAGGAGTAAGGGAACATGGAAGATTTTCAGTTTTGTTTTAGGTTTTCGTTTGTTTGTTTTTATTTCCAAAATATGGTCTACCCTTGTGTTTTAAATTATGTCGTACATAATTTTTTCACATCCCTTCAACACATTTAGTATACCAAAATATTGATTCTGGGAAGAATATTTTTCATTCATCTGGTTGATAGCTGTTGTGAAAAATCAATAATATTTTCGTTCCTTTGCATGGAATCTAGGTGACTTTTTCCCCTGTTTAGTCTTCTACTATTAGCAACTTACAAAATTGCAACTGAATGATGTGAAGCTTAACAGAGAGCTCTGAGATTAAATTAGGTAACACACTGCAATCACTTTGCCATGAGTAGGCATTGAAGCCATAAAAGATTTGCAGCTGCTTAGCACATCTGAAAAATCCAGTTCCTTCCCTAAAAATGTAAACATGAATTTGCATTAAGTAGCATTTAGAAAAAACTCAGAAGATTACTGCTAACAGGTAATTCTGTAATGATCAATTCTATATAAATAATAGCACAGTACCTTTAAAGAATGTTTCTTAAAAGTGTCATATAAAAACTCCCCTTGTAAGGACACTTTTAAGTGGTCTCTAATGCAGATCAGAACTGGTCTATACTGAGCAGTAGCTTTTATACAAACATGGGCTGTGAAGTTCTCCTTGTGCTCCAACCTCACATCCATGTGGGCAAATATCCCTACCTCAGTAACAAACATGGAAGCAAATTAGGAATGAAAGCTATTGAAATTACTTGGCAATTCAAGGGAAAAAAAAATCTGCCCTTTTCCTTACAGGAGTTCCTTTGCTATTGTCAATGCAATCACAGATTTTCAAAGTAACGTTTGTTCAGTCTGCTTTTTCACATCTACTAACTCCACAAGGTGCATAAGCCCTCCAAAATTACACTGGTTTTACCTCACTACCTGAACCCAGATGGGAAAAATTAAATAATGGAATATAAATATACATAGTTTTATCAAAACTCACCATAAAATAAACTTCTGAGAGTTACCTAGGTGATTATTCTAATGACAGGTGTAGAAAAGGAAGGTTTATCTAGATCTTATTGTATCTGCAAAAAATCAGACACTCAGACATATTAACTCCACAGAATAGTTAGCAAAAGACAGGAGAATAGTTGGCATATGGTAAATAAATAAATAAACATACAAATTAATTTTTATACTCAGAAAATTGAGGTTTTCTTTAAATTCCCAACAGGCTTCCAGTTAGACCCCTGCCTATGCTGGGCAGGTTATGGAAGAACTATATTAGGCCCTAACACAATGCTACAGAAACCTTGATAATGCAATTTCAATTAGGGGAAACACACATTGGGCAAAGAAAGCTGTTAAGATTTAGAACCTCCCTCTTCTGAGAATCAAGCAGTTTGTGAGAGAGACAGTGAGCAGGTACACACAGCATCCAACTGCTACAATCACACACAGGATCCTGGCCTTTCTTCATACCTCTAAGGGCAAGATCAAGCCTCTCACTCAAATCTTGGAGCTTTTTGGGAGCACACATCTCAAGGCATAAATCAGACATTTTGCCCTTACAACAGCTAGGACTGCAAAATAGTTAATTCCTGTTCAAGTTAGATTCTGTTGCTTCTTTGCATATCAAGTAAAATTTCCATGTGATTTACATGTGTCTTTGCCACATGTAAAGTCATGCAAAAATAGGAAGTACGACAAAACCATGAGCCCTTCTTCGTCCTCCAGTTTTTTGCAAAGTCTCTACTCATCTGTCCTGAAGTATTTGAGGTTGCCTCCACATCATCATACAGCACCCAAGCAGACTATTCCACCTGCTCACCACACGCTGTGGCTCTGCGTTGAAATGGAAGGTGCCAGTTCACGCAGGGCACATACACAGCTCTGTGAAGCACCAGAACAACTGTATTATTGAAATATGCTTCTACTTCTACTATAAATGTAAGGCTCTTCACCAGCTGCACTTTGTATAAAATATTAGCACTTTCACAGTAGGCATCTCTGAAAAAGAGTGATGATAGACCTTTTGTAATTCTGCCCGTGAAAGAAGTTTTCTTCTTCTAAAGCTGTTACTGAGTACTTTTCGCTGGGGAAACCATTTGGAGAAAAAGTTTTAAAACAACATATCACTGTGCACTGCATCAGTATGGTAAGGGGTCGCAACGTTAATTTACATGCCAGTAAAATGAGCAGGTTTGTATATAAGCTCCGGTTCTGCCTGTAGAGTGCAGTGCAGTGCAGTGCCAACAGTTAATGTTCCCAGAAGAAATCAAAGACCACAGGGTCTATGCTCTAAAAGGAGAATAATTTACTTCTTTTTAAATGTCTGATGCAGTATAAGGACAGGAAAAGTAAGGGTAATAAAGACTGAAAAAAAGAATAATGCCTCTTCCCTTCCCCCTCAACTCACAACAGTACTTAGAGATAAGTGGAGTATCATCTACAATTCAGACTTCTAACTGTGACCTGGCTGTTCAGGAAAACAGCTTTCAGTCCTCCTTACCTAATAACTCCTCTTCACAGCTGGGCTAAGATCTGTCAGGATCATCAGATGTGAACACAGGGACAGGACATAGGCTAGTGACAAGGAGCACAATACTTTTCAAAGGAAGACAATAACACAGTTGTAACACCATTTCACAGTAGTCACTGAGCACAAGGAGAGCTTTTCTTCTTGGTCCAGTCTTAGGATATGGCAACCCAATCAAGCTTCAGAGCTACTACCCAGGGAGTTTGCTGATGCATGCATTGCTCCACTTACTCTCTAATCCTTGCAGTGAAGACTGAACAAGTCAGTGCCAAAAAAAGCTTTCAGAACTTTTAACCCATTGGGGAGCTCCCTTCGATTAGGGTAGCTACAAGTACTTATTTTCCTGCTATCCAAATATTGCAATGCCCATCAATAAAGACAAGGGAGCCTCAGAGGGGTTTCAAAATACCTAATTAAAATACTCTCTTCCAAAAACAGAATAATTTGCTTATAATGCTATCACTGTAGATGAAAGCATCATCCCATACCCAATGACATTCTAAAATCAGCTAAGCTTTTATTTGAGAAAAAATAAATAGCATCTAGAAGTGTCTCAACTATCCACTCAAAAAAAACAAACTTCATAGAGGTCTTTATTTTCTGTTTCTTTCTCCTATGCCAGTCTTTATGGTATAATTTCAGGCCAAACTTGGTATTTGTAGTGGAGTACCTGTCACATACTACAGTCAAAACACAAGGTCCCTTTGTGATAGGCACCATCATAAAGAAGCTGACTGCTCCTTCAAATAGCTTATGAACTTTAAGTATACGAAGTTATAGATAAGACAGACTGAGTGAGCAGAAGGTGTTATGGTTAACGTAACAAGCTATGGTCAGAGCTGAACATGGTTCTGCATGGAAAGAATATATTCAAGATTGCTAATTAATGCCTTATGGTCCTTTCTGGTCTTATCTTTCTAATTAATTATCTTTGTAATTAGCAACCAAATCAAATTTCCAAAGGCCACCGTACTGTAAACGTGACCTTTCTAAAGCCTCTGCTTCTGTGTTATGTTACCCTGCAGCAAGTTATTCTCACTCTCAAAATTAAAGTGCTTTGGAAATGTGTTATTTAATAGCTGCTTACTGGTAGTCACCATAAAGGATCTAAAAACGATCCAATTTTCAATTGCTTTGAAGAGAACTACTTTGTAGTAACTGTACAGCAGGGGTCAATCTTGCTTTTAAGCATGAGGAAAGAAAACATGAAAAACAAAATACTTTCCAGGCTCACTTAAATGTTAATAATTATTAGCTATCATATTAAGCTAAGCATCAATGAATTAAGGCCTTTTCATTTCTCTCATAGCCTTTTTGTTCTCATATTTACTCCCAACTACCCATATCCAAGTGCTTGTACCTTCTTTGTTTTCCTGAATCTGGAAAGCTCACAGTCCTGCTTTTCCTACAACTCTCAGACAAAATGCCACAATACAACAAACTTTCTTCTCTGAAGAAAAAAAAACAACCAAAAAACACCACTTATCCTATCTCCTGATTCTAATTTATCATCGTTATTTTCAGTATTCAGTTCTTCTTAAACATTCTGCCAAACATTCAGAGAATGCACAGTAGCTTTTCTAATACCTGTGAAGCAGTATACAAAATCTTAGAACAGTTTACCAGGGAGTAATAATAGCTCAGCCATAAATGTAAATGCCAAATAATAGAATAATTGCTTTGCTGCTTGTTGTGGACTTTTATTTCCTCCCAATTAATCAGAAATGCTTAATTAGTGCTAGTTAAGTATTTTGAAGCTCAAGGATCAACGTCATTTAGAAGTGCATATCTCTGCTAATATTTCAAAAAGAGAAAAATACAACAACAAAAACACCAGACAGAATGCTTAAAAGTAACCTGGGGAAAAAAAAAAAAAAAAAAGAAAAAAAAAAGGAACTGTATTTCTACTCTAATTTAGAACATGGGTACATCTGTGGCCTGAAGCAGTTTAAGCTTTGCACTGGGCATTCCCATAAGTGGCTGTGCTTCAGCTCTGACCTCACTATTGCTTTAGAGCCTGAACTTTCAACCTTTACACAGCTCTGACTGCCTGCAGTGCGCTTTCAGTGCAAAGCAGCAATACCTGTGTTGTACATTTACCCTGGTATTAGTATTGCCATATTTTACATATGTCTCTGCCTAGGTCTAGCCAGACTATCCTAAGTGCAGCACTGTATTAAAGGAGCCCAAATGGGTTTCTATCTTACTTTAGTATGCTTCAGTTATTAGATTAGCCTTTTAGTGGGTAATCAGGGAAATGCAGAAAATTACAAGGCCATAAACTAAAGTAACCCTGAGGCTACTTTGAGTAGCTGTAATTTCAGAAAAGGAGCTGTGGTATCTCAGCTCCCTAAACTGCCTATGCTTTAACACAGGAGAGAAGGAATTAGCCCTAATAACTTCCTCACTTCACCTGGCTGCTTACTATAAAACTCATTATCCAAGACTTCAGCTCTCTGTTTCTGCTAATCTTTGACCTCTGTTTTACAATCATGAATGTCCAAAGCTGACCTTCCTTACATGTAGCTTCCACTACATATTTCATCAGATGTTGGCTATTCAACTTGTGGAAGGTTATTTACACGAAAGAAGCTACTAAATGCACCTTCAAAGTTCACTTCAATTTGCATTCTTCTCATCCCTATTTAACCTTAGTCCAGCAATTTTAAGCAAACAAATCCTTAAAGACATCAATGCAAATGTTACATGTCTCTGAGAAATCTTTCTCTAAAAATGGTAATAAAGGATTTGTGATAGAGTTTGCAAGTCCTTTTCAAGCCTGTTTCACATACTTGAAGAATTGCTTTCAAGAATGTAGAGCCTAAAGAAAAAACTTCATTCCATGAAGAATGATGCAAACCCAGCAAAGCTTGTTACTTTTTTTTTTTTTTTTTTACACTCTATACAGGAATGAAAATACAAAGAATGTCTATCACATATTTTACCAGATCCTACGTTACAGAGTCCTTAAGTGCATCACATTAGAGAGAATTTTGGTGCAATAATGCAAGTTGGGAAACAAATGAGCAACTGTACCCAAGCACATTCAACTGCTACACCTATACATGTCACATGAATAACAAAAATTCTCTACACCAATTCAGTTTTCAGAACATTCTATGGCTCAAATGTATTTTGACTCTTTACAGTTTGATAATACTTAGCATTCATCTTTGTATAATTTATTGGTGATAAAAAATTGAAGTGCATTTCCTCTTTAACCCATCTTTTCCACTGTAACTATGCTTCAGCAACCATTTGATGAAACAAAAGATGCTGATCTTTTTATTAATTCCTATCCCTCCTTACAAATGATCTCAGTTATATTTCCATTTCTTTGTAAGCAGATATCTGCTGCCCATATTCACCTTTAACACGAACAGGATATACAAGAATACAACACAGAAAAACAGACTTCTTGGTACTACTGCACAACTATTTAAAAACATATTTACACATCAGCAACATTACTGCTTTCAAATAAAAAGAAAAAAAATACTTCATTGATTGGGAGGATGTGCTATGGCTTGTTAGAAACTTCAGTGTTCTCTGTGGCTTAGACTTGCTTTTCCTATGTATGGAGAATTCAAATGACTGCATTCTCCTTTCCCTTTGTTTACATAATGTAATATCTCACACACAAAACAAGCAGATATTTCTTTCAAGAAGGTTGCTGAAACATTATTCTTCTAAAGACATCGATCATTTCTTTCCATTAAAAAAATCCTGTTCGTGCTTGATTATGCAAGGCTAGTTTTGGAAAGTACCAAAGCAAATAAACTTTGATAAATATTAATTTAAAAAAAAAAAACAACTGTCCATTATGGAAGGGTAGCTTTTTTACTTCAGTGTCAGCATCCTGATCCTAAGTTCAGAAACCACACTCAGACTTTCTCTGCACCAGAAGTACCAAATGGCATTATAATGTTTTCCCAAATTTGCTTTCTGGGAACGATTTGGAAGGCATTTTTTTGTTATTTGATAAGACGTGCATCACGAAACTCTCCTAACCACACATACGGACACCCCTCCCAAACACACATACACACACACACACACACGCACACACACTTATTTTACAAAAGTCTTCATTAAGCAAGTAGTCACAACACTGAATATCGTCTCCTATTTGTTCACTGATTATTCTTAAATGATTTGTCACCACTCAGCCACTCAAAAGATGGTGATTTCATTCTTCTGAGAAGCTAACTATGTTCAAAAGCGGCTAGATGACGATGGTGGTGTGATATAAATTCCAATAGAAATACGCATAATCCATCATATATCCATCCATCCTGAGAAACTTTCACTGGCAAATTCTCGTTACTTTCCAGAGGTCAAGGGGTTCCCATCAATAAATAGAAGGTCAGTGCAACAATGAGGAGCAAGCAGAATGGAGAAGAGAAGGTCTGATAGGCAGCTGATGGCATGAAAATATCTTCATACTTGTAAATACTGACCACATGCTCTGATACAGGTGGTGAGTCTATATCGTGACGAGTTATAGAACCTTTAATAAGCAAGGGCAGAAAGAAATAACATCAGCTGCATTTGATTTCTAATGATTTATCAAACAAATAGATAGAAAGACTTAATTTTCATACACAGAGGAGCATGCAACGTTACAATGTCAGTGAGTAGTTATTGCTCTGTTTTCTGAAATTAAACTTCTGAATAAAACAAATGACATTCAAGTAAACAATAATCATCCTCCAGAGGAATTCAGAACTTCCAGTTACGAACTGTCCTAACTTAAATTTAGCTTTGGAGAGTGGGAACAATAGCTGCATGACCAAGAAAATATGATATGTAGGACTCTGCTAGCTATCTCACCTTCCTGCTCATATTTTCTTAAGACTGATGCTGCCAAAATTTTAATTCATTAAAAAAAGGAGGGGATATAAGTAAGAATAACGTCACTGAAAGACATTTATCTATTTTGGTAACTAAGTTGTCAGTAGCACAGATATCAACTTACCCTGAATTGCTGGACCCCAGGCAAACAGATAGTACCAATTCAAGTGCAGATCTACGATAGTTTCTTCTCGGGGCACGTATACAGGACGCTTGAATCGACAAGTTACACGATTGTTTTCAAAAACCCCCTCTTCATCTCTAGCAGGATTTCTCTGTATTTCTTTTGCCCACTGACCAACATTGTAAAAGTGTTGTATTCGGACTCTTCCGTTATCATCATGAACACAAGCCATGACATCATCTCCTCCCTACATGGTAAAAACATTTTCGCAGAAGGAAAACAATTGTCACAAAGCACTTCCTCATTTATTTATACAACTTCAACTATTAAAAACAATCAAGACTTAGGTCTCTCACTCCCTTTTTCTAAGTTACAAATACACAAATGTTCTTTTCCCTAGAAATGTTTCTTCATTCAGATTGAACGGCATGGACTAAATACTAACAATTACTTCTTCTCTCTGCATTCTTGTTTGGATCTTTCTGAGATCCAAAACAACCAAACATACACAACACATTTATAAGGCATAGTATCACCCTGACATCACACAGTGGATGAGTAGAAGACTGTTTTCTTTCATAATGTGTGATTTTCTGGGATCTTTATGTGTGCAAAATCTACTGTATCAGGACTGCGGACAGAAAAGCAATATAACTTTGTAAGTTAGTGAAGATTAATCTACTAAATCTGTATAACTATTATCATAAACTACAGCCTGTCTTTTCTAATCTCATGTTCACTTATGATAATATAGCTTCTCGTTTATCTTAAGGGAAAATGATCAGCAAACAGTAACAATACAGAATATTGTAGAATACAGGAAAAGATTAATCAACTTGTGCCCCTTCCCATCGTATAAACTACCAATCAAAGAAACAAGGGATAGAAAAAAGTGTGAGGCAATTGTTTGTGTAAGTCATTTACAGAAACATTAAAACAGTTGTTAGAATAGTTTATTCAAGGACACTGTCAAAGTTGCAGAGCACTGCATCACGCAGGTATTAATTTTAGGAGCACTGCCTTGTGGATGCCTTGCTGTCATGAACCATTAAAATACTGCAAGTTTGATGCACGACATTTTGTTGAATGCCTCTACTGTAGGTATCACTACTATGTTAGACACAGGTCCTACTCTTCCAATACAAGTCTTTCTGATAGGTCACAATGATGCAACAAGCAGTGCTTGCTAGCATGACCATCCGTCAGTTTGCTGTTATGGGAAAAGTAGTGAAAAAAGCCACAGTGCATCTCTCTGGGACTACGCCTATGAAGGCCTAGTATGAAGTACCTAGTATTACTGCAGGCTACCTTTCCAGCTTTGGTCTTGAGCCTATTATTGCTTTCCATGGCTTATTTTCTAAGTTTAATCTTTTCTTTATGTCTGAGCACCAATCTCTCATTTTTAAGTACAAAGAGGCAAAACAAACAAACAAACAAAATAACCAACAAAAAAACTGTTTCCACATTCAGAAAAAAAAAAAATTCTGTACCTCATTTAACAGAATGACATTACAAAATCCTAAGTAGGCACAAAGCTTATGCATGGAAAACTGTAATGTTATCTGAGACAAAGAAATAGGTCACAGGAGTTAAAAAAAATCTGACAACCCAAAAACACCTTTTTTCCCTTGAACTTTTTGGCTATTCAGGCCACAATGTTTTCATCAGGGCCTCCATGGTACAGCCCCTTTCTCACAGCAGAACTTTTGTGATGCAAAGTCATTTTATCATTAAAGTATCCCAGATTCCAAAACATCCTCAAGTTATGACAAGGGATGAGGTCAGCAGGGGAACAAGAGAGGAAGGCAAACACCAGCTGTTTTAGTGTAGCTGATCAGTAGTTCTCATATGCATCAAATTTATAATGAAAATCTCTCAGCTTTCATTCTTATTACTGGAAGCTGTGACTTTACGTGCTGTTTGGTCCACCTGGGCTGAAAGGTAACATATGCTTTAAGGCATAGCTAGTGTGTCCCAGGGACTATCATACTGTACAGACCTTCCAGCCACCAAGCACAACTCTGCCTGCTCAGGCAAGCCCATGGGCTACAGCACACATCCAACATGGTTGGGAATTGTGCTTATGTCGCCTGCCCTGCAGAAACTCATGTTTCTGACTGAGGGCTATCATGCAGGCAGGCCAAGTAGTTTATCTGCGCTCCTGAGTGAAATGAGAGGGAGGAACTCAGAGAATATGATGGGGACAGGGGTGAGAACAGAGATGGGGCTGCATTGGATGAACTGCACACACAGCCTGAATGGACCTGAAGTCATGGGACAGGTTGGACTGAGTGGGCTTGCAAGGAAGCACAGGGAGGGGAAAGCGATACTGCACTGCACAGGATGGTTGAGAGGTGTGGCAGAGAGCCTGGCAAGATCACACTGAGTTAATTGTACTTGAGAGCAATTATCTCTCCAAAGTCTAACCAACCATTGAAATTCAATGTCATTGCTTTGAAGTGGTAGTACAGGTACACAGGAGTTACAAACTACTAACATAATGTCTAATAGCTTTGGATCAAGTATTTAAAGCTACCGGCCTGCTCTGAAAATCCTGTTGACTACTTGTACTTTCCACCATCCAAACTCCTCCTGGTATTTCGCTGTAAAACCATACCTCATAACACTCTTTATGATACAAAAGATTGCTCTCTTCATTCTGTTTATTTGCAGCATCATATTCAAGACATAGTTACTGATGAGAGAAAGGCACCTGCCCTCACATTTTCTTTCTGATTCTCATTTTTGCTCCAATAAAATGTTGCTAAGTTAGTGTGAGTCTTCCCATTTCCTCTCACGGCTCTACAGCAGGATTTCCACGTTTTATACTTTTTGACTACTGCTTACAACTGAACAAGAAAGTACTTTCCTCTAACTAGCAATCTAGAACATGGACTCAGTATTTTTCATATACTCAGGAATGTCTCTGCATATGAAGACCAATGTTATAAACTATATTTTAATCCTAAATGTGTTAAAAGGATCATAAAAAACCACGTTTGCAGAAGTTGTCTATTGCTCAGGTTTTTTTTTAAGTCCATACAATATATGCACCTCTTTGCCCAGTGAAACACAAAGACAAATAAGGCTCTTCAGTGAACAACAAAGTAGATGAATGAACATAAAACAAAACTCAGTAAAATCCAGGAGAGATCGAAGAAATCCTAACAGGATTGCTTTCTAGAGTACGTATACTTAAGTAAGTAGTAGTCATTTTGTCACATATTTGTGGCTTTCCTGGAATAAAACACAGAGATGAAAAAAAAAGGAGGATTTCCAGAGTTTTTAAGTGAAAGCCATATTTGTATCCCTGAAAGACAGATGATTTACTTAAGAATGGAACTATGTGATATTTAGTTCCTGATGTGCCTTTTGTCAAAGTAACACTAACATGAAAAGCTCAACAGGATATTATAATAACAAGAAAAAAAGCTAATAATGTTCAAACACTCAAAGATAAACCAAAACACTGTTGTACTATTTAGCAAAGAAGGGAAAGGTCATGCTACTAAGGATGAGACAGTTTTGAGGAGACAGAAGACCGAGCTTCTGCTCCCAGGTGACTATTGGGTACTTTGCTTTCAGCAAGTCAGTTTTTCATATGTGCTCTGCTTCTGACAGATAAAATATAAAGTATATTCTGGCATGCAAAAGTGTTCACACTATCAACGTGAAGAACTTTAAGAACCTTACCATTTTCTTGTCTGAGGAAAATCCCACTGCTACCCAGCCATCGGTATCAGCACTCAACTCAAATTCAACATCAGCTCCTATTCTGCGATAACTTAGGAAGTAGTCACAAGTCTCTGCGTTACAGCCAGGTTTGCCGTACCTACATGGAAATGCAAAAACATGCAAACCTTGCCTTTCAATTTCTTGCTGCAGATATTATGTTTCTGCAAGAAGAACTAAAAGAATGTACTTTGGTAGAGCGGCAGTAAAACATAAATTACGCCAAACTACAGTAGTACTGTTGATTTCTTGCAAATATTACCTTCTTAGAATAAGAACATATAATGTTTAATCATAATGACAAGCAATTACATATGCACAGTGTTACTGTGTTGAAATGCTGAGTCCCTGTTTTGTGAGTTAGTGCTTCAAGAAAATGCAAAGATCATAAGTTAATCTAGTCCACACCTCTGATGTCCTTAAATAATCAAATTTACTTAAATAAAACAGAGTAGGTTCACAAATAATAAAAAAAATATTCAAATGAATACGGAACATTGATCAAACTCTTGAATGCAATCAGACAGCATTTGTAAATGTAAAGGTACCTGTGTTTTTATCTCAGACTGACCTGAAGCATCCCTTCGTTTTTCCACAGTCATCCACTCTGATTTTTGCAAATGGATCCACAGGAGGTGCAGTAGGGAAAGGGTAACCTGTAGAATGAGAATAAAGTATAACCAAATAAATACGAGGAGAAAAAAGCAGTAACAATGAAGAGAAAGGGTTCCAATACTGTTTACTTTGACTGGTGATAACTGAACTGTACTGATGAGGTACTACCTTGTCACAGACACGAGCCCTCTATCAGTAGGCCCAGGATTGAGATACTAAAATAACATAGAGAAATGAAAACATTTCCTCGGGTTTGCAACATTCTTCAGGTGGGGGACAACAGCGCTGGAGCACAACCTTGCTACAACGAGGGCAGGAAGCCTTCCACTGACCATGTAAGCTTTGGCAGCACGAACATGGAGCAGGGCATTCAGCTAAGGCTTGGGGGGTCTCCACTCAGCTGGCTCTTCATGCATGCTTGGATTCCTCGGAATATCTGTAAGGGAGAGAATTCTGACTCCTCAGCTTTAGGAATGGATACTGAAGGGATACTTTCCCCTTTAAGAAGTACAGAAAACATGCACTGAGTCGGAAGGGAAGCGTATCAAAACAGGCAATGCCTGAAGCAATGACCTACAATCATTTGTGAGGTAAGGCACAGAGGAGACAGATAAGGAAGGATCTATGACTCCAGGCAATAGCTTATCTGCTGTACTGTAATACACTGAAGACATGGCATGAACATCTGCAAGCAGACCTTTCCTCTCACAGAATCACAGAATCATTAAGGTTGGAAAGGACTTCTAGGATTATCAAGTCCAACCGACAGTCCATCCCCACCATGCCCACTAACTATGTCCCTCAGTGCCACTACTTCTTGAACACCTCCAGGGACTCCACCACCTCCCTGGGCAGCCTGTGCCTCTGCTTCAACACACTTTCTGAAAAGCAATCTTTCCTAATATCCAATCTGAACCTCCCCTGGTGCAACTTGAGGCCACTGCTTCTCACCTTATTACATAGGTTTGTTTTACAAATAGCCACCCTTAGGTTTGGTTCATCTAACCTGCAAGTGGGAAGGTTCTGTGTTCTTTCCATCATGTCAACAATGCACAACATAGGTTTTACTGTGAAAAACCTTCAATATTAAATAGATGTTTTTCTCTGCAGATTGGTTTTGGCTTGCAGAGGTTCAGTTTTGTTCTATAAACATTGGTATTTTAATGTGATTTTAGTCAGCCAACTTAAAAACAAAGCATTAAGTTGTGAAGCCAGAAAGCTCTGAAAGTTGCAGGCTCTAGCATCTCCAAACAAACAGGAACGTGTGGCCTGCCCTCCAGGCACCGGGCTCCACGAGCCCTGGTTCACCTTCTAGGCTTCTGATAGTGCCACAGGAGAGAGGAAATAGGCCATAACCCGCAAATTACAGCTTCCATTGGCTGCACCATGGGCTAGGTAAAGCAGTCAGCTGGTTTAAGCATACAAAGCTAGCAACGTTTCACAACAGTTCATAGTGGAGCATCAGCGAGACTGACTGCATACACCCCACCTTCTCACTGCCTCATTTTTTCCCACTCTATCCAAAATCTGTTTCGAAAAAGAAAAACGCGGCCGCATTTCTTGCCACTCACGCCATCACACGGCTTTTTAAACAATACGATAAACCCCTCCATCACTCTCCCGTGCCGCCTCCCACACGACCGAGCGGCCGAGCATCGCGCGCCGGCCGCCGCCTCCCGCTGCCGTCGGCCGGGCCCTGAGCCCGTGCCCCGCCGCCCCTCGCTGCCTACGGGCCCGCAGACCCGAGGCGGGGAGCCCGCCGAGCCCGGCGCGGCGCTCGGCGGCCCGCACGGCGGTGGCTGCGGGCAGAAGATGGCGGCGGGGACCGGCCTTCGTCCTGAACGCCGTCGCCGCCGCCGCCCGCCCCGACCCCGCGCGGCCCCCGCCGCCCGCCCTCCCGCACGGCCGCCCCGCGGCGCACCCTCCTCGGAGAGGTAGCGCAGGTCGTAGAACTCGCTGGCGAAGGTGCCGTACGAGGAGTCGTGGTGCGGCCGTGCCGCCTCCTCGCTCTGCTCCCCGCCGCCCGCCTCCCGCCGCCCGCCGCCCTCCTCCGCCGGGCTGGCGGCGGAGCCGGCCAGGAGCAGCAGCAGCAGCAGCCGCCGAGCGCCGGCGCTCCGCACCGCCATGGCGGCGGCGGCGGCGGCGGCGGGGTGGGGAGGCGGCGGCGCCGAGCGCGCCTGGTACCCGCCCGCCCCGGGCTGCTGCGCCGCCGGCAGAGCGGAGGCGGCGGGGAAGGAGCCGCAGCGGAGAGGAGAGACCGCCCCGGGTCGGCGGGGGCGCGGGGAGGGAACGTGGAACGGGGGCGTGGGACGGGGCGTGGGACGGCCCCGCGTGGCGGCACCCCAAAAGGTCTCGGCGCCCCGGGAGCGGCGGGGCCGTCCCGCCCGCCTGCTGCAGGCTGAGCTGCGCGCCGGGTCCGCGTGGGGTTGGAGGAGTTGTGAGGCGGGACCGAGTTACGTTCATCGCAGGTAAAGCAGCTGTCAGCCGCTCGTTCGTGCTCGCACGGTGTGCAGCGTACCCGCGGGTGTGCGTGCTCCCACCTGACGGGGCGGAGGGCTCCGCCGAGCCGCCAGCGCCGCGTTGAGCCCGGGTAAGCCCGGGCTGGCAGCGGGACGGCGCGGCCCGCGTGTGCTCCTGCTGCGTGGTGCCCGCGGGGAGCAGTAAGGCAGAGGCCTCGCACACTTCTTCAGGGCTTGGTTGCGCCTTCTGCCATAACTCCTGCTTTTCGGTGGGGTTTTGCGTGGTTGCACTTTCTCTACTCGGCCAAACTTCGGGGGGTGGTGGTGGGACAGCTGAACAACGTGCTGCAGTTGGCAGTACCCTGACAATTACAGTGGCACCTTTCATTTCTGATCGCTGACGACTGCCTGGAGTTACTCTCAGATGGGGCTGCTTTTGGGGTGAGTCTGTGCCCTTGGGCTGGGCAGAGACTCCCACTGCTGCAGTGCTCCCACCAAGCACCAAGTGCTCACTCCAGACAGAGCAGCATTCACTCAGGGCTAAAAAAGTGCAAGAGTAATTTTGATCATGTGCAAATTCATTGTGTTCTGTGGCAACCTATGTAAGAAGCTGTGGGAGAGCAGCACCATGGTTGGATACAAAATAATCAGTCTCTTCTTCCCCTTGCAGTGCAGTTTGGCAAACTTTGCAGGGCCAATGGAAAACAAGCAAACAGCAATAGAAAAACCCTTACAAATCAGGCTAATGGGAAAATAAGGCTGTGGCTTATTCTTTCCAGCAATAATCAGCTCTGATGAAGGCCCCCCATCTCCTTTTGGAAATAGCCACCCTACTGCCATACTGCCTGTGAATAAGCATTTGCTCAGCACTGGAACAGCTGTCAGCTGTGTGCATTTTCTCCTCACTGGAAGCAGGCTTGAGAGCACTGTGTGATGTATCACAGCAACAGTAAACATGTGGGATGTTTATCTGCATTGCACGCACCTACATGAGAGCTATCATTTTAAATCTGACAGCTGAGATACTGTCAGTGATCGCACTGGAGCTGTGCTCATTTACGAAGTTGAAGATACTGCTACTGACCCTATTCTGTTTGCCTCCTTCCTGTTAAATCCTTTAAATTAAAAATTAAAACAACTCTTTGACACTTTTTTTTTTCTTTCTTTCTTTCTTTTTTTTCCTAAAACCTCACCTAAGCATTGTCCCTGTTACCAAAATGGTTTGCTTGTGGAAAGCAGTGCCATAGTTCGACTGCTGGAGCACTCATGAGGACACTTATTATTTCACAGAGAAGAGTGTAGTGGCGTTTGCAGCAAACAGGAGAATCCACAGTGCAACTAACAGTAATGCCTGTGTGGCAGCACTTCTACAGGGAAGATCCCAATGTAATTGAGTAGTTAAGGCTGCTACCCAAAAATTATTAGCAAGTCAGTGGCTCTGTGGCCAGGTGGAGGCTGGTCGCAAGTAGTGGCCCAGATCTGGAGCCCTCTCCTGTGAAGAAAGGCTGAGGGAGTTGGGCTTGGTCAGCCTGGAGAAGGCTATGGGGAGACCTCATTGTGACCTTCCAGTATTTGAATGGAGCTTATAATCAAGAGGGAGACCAACTTTTTACATGGTCTGACTGTGAAAGTTAGCCTGTAACTAGCGGTGTTCCTCAGGGGTCGGTGCTGGGTTAGTCCCTACACCTCTGGGTGGGGACTGGGGTGGTAAATCCCCTCCTCCTGTGAGGACAGAGCAGGTCCGAGACCGCCTCATGAGACTGAATGTGTACAAGTCCATGGGGCTGGATGGTGTGCATCCCAGGGTTCTGAAGGAGCTGGCTGAGGTGGTTGCCAAGCCGCTCTCCATCATATTTGAGAAGTCGTGGCTGCCAGGTGTGGTCCCGGATGACTGGAGCTCCCATTTACAAGAAAGGGAGCAAGGAGGACCCCAGGAACTACAGGCCGGTGAGTCTCACCTCTGTGCCTGGGAAGGTCATGGAACAGATCATCCTGGATGACATGCTTGATCACATGAGGAAAGGGCGTGTGATCCATGACAGCCAGCATGGCTTCACCAGAGGAAGGTCATGCTTGACCAATCTGGTGGCCTTTTATGATGGAGTGATGGCATCGGTGGACAAGGGAAAGGCGACCGATGTCATTTACCTGGACTTGAGCAAGGCCTTTGACATGGTCCCCCACCACATCCTTCTATCCAAACTGGAGGGATGTGGATTTGATGGGTGGACCACTCGATGGATAAGAAACTGGTTGAAGGGCCGCAGACAGAGGGTGGTTATCAATGGCTCTATGTCCAGGTGGAGGCCGGTAACGATTGGTGTCCCCCAGGGGTCTGTCTTGGGACCGGTGCTCTTTAACATCTTTATC